AATGAGAGAGACCCTTCTCAGGCTTTATTCAACACAAACTTGCAAGCATACCTGCAACACAGGACGAAAACAAACCATCAGCAACACAAACAGACGTGGCCCAACACTAACACCAAACACGACGCATAACACTTGCAACAAACAATCATAACATTCTCCCCACCCGCTGTTGTACAGGGAAGGAAGTCAACAAACAAACATAAATCCACGTCTCATTGCAGTACGTCGACTTACAACAGCTACACAGAGTAATCACGCATATAAGTGGGAGGATGCCTGGTCCGGCCAGATCGACGAGCTGGCTGCGGACAGGGCGCAGCGTCACGTTCACCGGTTTCACATCTCGGAACTCGCCCACCACATTCCTCAACGGGATGACGGTGGAACCGGTCGACACAGGACCCCGGCGGCTGCTCCTGAGGAGACGACGAGTCCAGAGGTGTCACCGGAGGATCGTCCGGAGCCGCTCGTCCAGTTGAGATTGTGAAGTCAGCGACACGTTCGTCGACGGCAAGCCGTTCCGTTGAACACTGCTCAGCCTGGGATGCGTCACCAGCCGGTGCCAGGAGAGCATCAGGCAGGACAGACTCCCACTCATCTGGTGATGCGCCTCGAGTCCTCAGCGCGAGCGAGACAGTCCGCCAGATGATCCCGTTATACCGTTCCTCCTGGTCGTTCCTTTGCGGGTTGTACGGTGTCGTTCTGCTCACAGCGATCCCTCGCTCCTGCAGGAACCGCCTGAGTTCTTCGGACATGAAAGATGATCCACGATCAGAGTGAATGTATGACGGCATTCCGAAAATGGCAAACAACTAGCATAAGCACTTGATGATAGTTGATGCTGTCATGTCTGAGCACGAGAAAGCGTATGGAAATCGCGAAAATTCATCCACGATAGTAAGCAGATAGTTGTTTTTGGTTTATGAAGGGAGTGGCCCCTTGAAATCCATACTCAGCCTCTCGAAGGGCCGAGTGGCTCTGACTAGATGGTTCGGCGCCCGGTTGTGAAATCTGGGCTTCAATTCCGCACAGGTAGTGCATGATGAAGTCATCTTCCTGATGTCTTCCACGGAATGTGCCAGATTCTTGCTCCTAACGAAATGAAGCTTCCGAGTGACTCCTGGATGGCAGAGATCTTCGTGCAGCTTTCGCAGTCCGTCTTCTACAGACATTGAGCCACACACCCTTGACAGAGCATCTGCAGCTACGTTTTCTGCTCCCGGTCGGTACACTATGTCATAGTGGAAACAAGACAGTTCCAGCCTCCAGCGGCCGATCTTTTCGTTCTTGATTTTCGTTCTTGCAGGCTGTCAAACATAATAAAACATATTTTTGATCGGTCGCCAACCGGAACTGTCGCCCCAACAGGTAACGCCTCCAGTGACGAACTGATTCCACTATAGCGTAGGCCTCCTTCTCGACCGCTGAATGCCTTTGCTCACAGGGCGAGAAAGTCCGGGAGAAGAACGCTACAGGACGTCCCGCTTGACTCAGGGTAGCAGCTATGGCGTGTTCAGAAGCGTCTGTCTCCACCGTGAACGGCTCAGCGGGATCAACAGCCCCGATCGCAGTCTTGGCAACTTCGTCCTTTAGGCTAGCGAAAGCCTTCTTGGCCTGTGGAGACAGAAGGAAAGAGGTCGTTTGGCTCAGGGGGCGGATCTTCTCCGAGAAGCTGGATATCCACCGAGAATAATGGGCGAACATGCTGGTTATCCTCTTCAGGGAGGTTGTGTCGTGTGGCTCAGGAAGGTCAAGGAACGGACGGAGTCGCTCAGGATCCGGCTTCAGTGTTCCTTCTTCGATCAGGTAGCCGAGTAGATTCACCGTCTTGCTGGAGAAGACGCACTTGTCCGTGTTCAGCGTGAGGCCGTATTTCTTCACAGCATCCATGACTTTCCTCAGATTCTCATCATGCTCCTCTTGAGAGTGTCCGCAGACCGTCACGTTGTCCAAGTAGACGAAGTTGTCCTTCAGTGTTTCCTTCTCCACGATGTCATCCATTATCCTCTGGAAGCTGGCGACTTCATTGGTGACACCGAACGGGATGCGAGTGAACTGATACAGCTTGTTGTCAGCTTCAAAAGCCATGTAGGGCTTCTCTTTCTCCTGGATGCTCACTTGATGGTAAGCATTTCGCAGGTCCAGCGTGCTGAATATTTTGTACTGTGCCACTTGTCCGACCATCTCGTCGATGCGCGGCAGGGGGTAGGCGTCTAGAAGAGTGTACCGATTTATGGTTTGTGAGTAGTCTATGACCATTCTCTTTTTTTTGGTTTTCGTTCGAAGTCACCAGGATCTGAGCCCGCCATGGGGAATTGCTGGGCTCGATAACCTCTTCACGTAGAAGTCTCGATACTTCAGAACTGATGAATTTCTTGTCTGCTTGGGAGTGGTGCCGTGACCGCACAGCGATAGGTTTACAGTCTTCCGTCAGGCTTGCAAACAGTGCAGGGGCTGGGACAGCGGCTCAAGTGCGCCCGCAGGCTGTAAGCGGAGACTGGGTCCCGCCGAAAGGGATCTCGACGGCTGAGTGTCGCTTCAATGAGTTATGGCCCAGTATGACATCGCTGCACAGATCTTCGATCACTAGCAGTGAGACGTCTTCGTGGACTTCTCCATTCGAGAGTTCAATGCGCACCTTGCAGATGCCGAGCACCTTGGAGGTGAGTGATGTGGCGGCCATTGAGACTTCACTGCACCCGTTAGGACGCAGTAGTTTCCACTTGTGCCTGTGCACCACCTCGCTGTTCACGAAGCTCTCAGAACTTCCTGTGTCCACAGGACATGTGCATTACATCCATTGATCTTGACAGGGCAAACTGCCCTCTTCAAGCAGTGAGGAGATGCAGCACTCACAGAGGCGAATGTGGCCATTGCTGCAGAAGTGGGCTTTGGGCATTGCTGCTGAGTCGGAGATCTGCACACTTTGGCATAATGACCTTTTCCTCAGTTGGCGCACACCGAGTCACGAGCTGGACACTTGTGCCGAGGGTGCCGGCTGAATAAAGCTTCTTCACGAAGCACTTCACGTTTCCGTAGCCTCCAGCTGCCGCTAGAAGAGGTGCTTCACTTGACGCTGGACCTTCCCCGTCAGCCGGTACAGGTGCCGAAGCAGCTTGCGCGGCAGTTAGCTGGGTGACTGTAGCCGCACTGACGGCAGCAGTAGCTTGGCTGAATGACTCAGAGTGTTTCTGTGTCATCTCGAGTGTCTGAGCTTTCTCGTACGCTGTCTGGAGGTCCAGAGATCTGTTCTCGAGCAGGCGTTGACGGATCTGAGGTGATGATAGACCATTGATGAATGCGTCTCTTATGTAGTCATCCCGATAGTCATCTGCTGATACTGCTTTAAAGTCACAGTCTTTCGCTAGGAGCTTCAGAGCTTGCAAATACTTATCCAGAGATTTGCCAGGATTCTGTCGTCTGCATGCTAGGACATGTCTCGCAAAATCTCATTTTTTGGCTGATGTATAGACCACTGAGTATAGTTATAGCAACTGTATATGAGGTGCACTCTGCAATGTGTTCATATACTGATGGAGCCACATCATTGACCAAAAGGTTCAGCTTGTCTTCTTGTGAGGTCACAGAGCTCTTCGCAAGTTCAGCCAGGAAGTTCTCAAAAGTTCGCTGCCAGTGCATCCACTCTTTTGCTGTAATCTGATCATTTGGGTCTGTACCGAACTTGTCTGGTCTGAGAAATTTGTCCATTTTGTGTTGAATAAATTGTAGTGAATATGAATGAGAGAGACCCTTCTCAGGCTTTATTCAACACAAACTTGCAAGCATACCTGCAACACAGGATGAAAACAAACTATCAGCAACACAAACAGAAATGGCCCAACACTAACACCAAACATGACGTATAACACTTGCAGTAAACAATCATAACAATCAGCACAGGTTGAAAAGGAAAAATTTCACACTGCTTCTTTTGGACGAATACACTTTAAATCATCGGTAGTCGGTACATAGGTAGGTGAATAAACGTGACACACTGAATTAGAAAACTGCACATGTGACCCCTTTTATGCCCCTGAGGTCATCAGGTCAAGGAATGTCTTCAGCAGTTTTTGAGAACAACTTTGGATAGAGACATGTTACAGTACTAAAAACACTATGGATGCTTCCAGCTCAACAATATTATTGACTGACATGCAACATGACTTTTCATGTGACCTTGACCCGTGGTGAGTTTTTTGGTTGACGTGTTCAAGTCAACCTATAGTTCTTTCGACACGTTTTGACGAGAGAAACATGATGCCGGTAAAATAACAGAATACGAGCATGGTGTCCAAAGTTTTTTTTTTTACTGAAAACATTTTCCTAAAAAAAGTCAAGTTCTGAGTTTTTGACTTCTGGGGGCTAAACTGTTGACCTTAGGTCAAATCTGAGGTTAATGCTAAAAAAGAGCTTTGCAAAGCTATCAAATGCGCTTCACTGTGGCACTGTTGCTTTAGGTATTGGTTCCCATCCCAAGTTATGCTCCAATTTGTGAAAAGTTGTCAAAATCGGGATTAAAAATTCCTGATAGCTTTACTTTTAGTGACCTCCAGTGACCTTGTGCGGTTCTGACCTCCAGTGACCCTGTGTGGTTCTGAAAGATCTTATAGTGAACTTTGTTTTGCATTTTCTGCGTCTTTTGAGCTCTTTTACTTTCAAGCTTTCAAGATAGCCTGGTGCGACCAAATACCCCCCCCCCCCCCCACACACACACACCCATGATGAAGTTGGCTGAGAGGCACACACGGGCGCAGGTTAAAAAAGTAGACACCAGACCTGGCCGGGTAGGTAACTTATTGTTATTTTCATAACTGCAGAATCAACAACCTCTTGCTCACATGATTTTTTTCTATAAAAAATGTCTGTTGAATCTCAATATTGCAGGTAATTAATGCACAAGGTTCAGGACAAACAGGCTGTTTCACACCATACCAGTGTCCCGAACTAAGATGAAACCACTATATGCTGCCTGTCACTATCACTTTGCGTCTGTGTTTCAGGGTGCATTCAGCAATGGCCTGGACCTGGAGCAGCCTGAAGACACTGCCACTTGCGCACCTCTGTCTGGCAATCACGTTCTTTCTCTCAGGACTCTGCATCAACCTCATTCAGCTGATTCTCTACGTGACAATCAACCCATTCAGTGACCGACTTTTCAAGAAAATTAACTACTATTTGCATTATTCCATTTGCTCTCGTAAGTACTGGTTTAATATGCTTTATAATTTGTGCATGCAAAACGACGTTGCTTTTTTCCACGTATGATACTAGTGCTTTCGTATGCTTCAAGAGGTAGGTATACTATTATGCAACGTTGCATTGCAATTTGTTGCATTTTCATGTGGTAGTAATGACATTGCTTTTTAGTATTGACACTTCACTTTGCTACTTAGTTGTCATCAGCATTTAGACAGGACATGTTTAATCTCTCCAGTAATGCCGTTTTTAAAGCGCTGACATCCATGGGAGGGGGGGGGGGGCAGCAGACCCCGCAGCCGTTCAGCCCCTATTCGAGCTAGAGCTTCACGGCAAAAAGTGTGTTGCCTATGACGATAGGAAGCTGATGATACCCAATTTAAACCCTCGCCGGACCTAATGGCTAGTTGTTTTCTACATACGTTAACGTACCTACCGGCCGAGGGGGCGGGGAATGACCATCCCCCGCCATTTCGCCCCTAATTGAGCTAGAGCCTCGCGGAGAAAACGAGCGTGTGCGCCGTTACGAGACGCAGCGACTGGCTCGCCGGCCATAGCCCGTCGTGAAAACGGCTAACATTGACCTGACCCAAAACAAGTTGTTTACAAAAGTTGTAAGTCGTTCAACGAACTATCAAACGCCGTTGCCGTTTGTCGCTACGATTCGTGGTTTTCGAGTTCTGACGGGGAGCCAAAAAGGCCCCCGCCTGATACAGAGTCTTTCAGAGCCCGCCCGGAATACGGTTAAAGGGACTATCCCACCTTTAACATGGGGTTTGAGTTGAGATAGCCAAGTTTGCGGCGAGGTTCAGAAACCACTATCTATCTAGGTTGCAACCCCCGCGGCCTCTTGGTGTTGAAGAAATTCGTTCCCTTCATTTGAAAATGGGCCTTGTACAAGGCCCTATCTTCAACATGGAGCGACCGTTAGTGTGACGTCACCTCGTTTAGTCATTCTGATTTAAATGGGTTTGTTCGTTGAAAAATCGCTTAAAACTTGGTCTGAACTTTGTTGTGGTGCCTACAGAGTAAAAAGAATCAGCTTTATGACAGTAATGTGGCCTGGGGAAGGAGGTAATTTTGGGCTGTGACGTCACATATTTGAAAGTTTGTGTTTGGAATATGGGAAGCCTAAGATGTTTAATGAAAAATAAATGCCAGAACCGTGTTCCTGGTCATCCAATCTATAAAGTCGGGCACAATTTAACTGGTTTTAACAACATTTTAGAAGGTGGGATAGTCCCTTTAAGCGCTTAAACGATATATGATAATACACCAAGTGTTACTCTGACCGTCATCCACCCATTCCTCGCAGATCCTCCCCCTCCTGCTGCGGTCCGGCCGCCGGCGGCGCCCGAGTTTTTTTTTTTTTTGCCAGTTACCATGCCACTCGGTGAGTTGTGATATGCGTATGTTTCTTACCGCTGCAGCGGTAAGAAACATACCAGCGCGCTGGCCATATAAAAACTGAACAAAAGTGAATGCATTATGTTGTATGTAATTATATACGCATGAGACCCTCTGTAGAGAGGAGGCCCCTTTAGGGAGGAGGCCCTCTGTAGAAAGGAGGCCCCGTCCGGGATTCCTCTGCCCCTCCCTTGGCCAGATCCTAGCTACGTGCCTGTAAAGAACAAACTTAACTAGGAACTGGGAATGAATCGCAGCATTGACATTTCCGAGTCTGGAGTCGGAGTCTTGAAGATTTTGGCGACTGCGACTCCGACTCTGGTTTGAACTGCACGTTCCAACCGAGTCTGACCTCACAGGCATTCCCGGAAAGGTACCCCCCATTTTTCCTGACTCCAAAATCTCATCGGATCTGTATCTATCTCAGAGGCCGAGGGTGCCCGGTCCGAGGTTGGGGGGGGGGGCAAGCTGCCCCGCTTCCCCCCCCCCGTGGCGACGCTAATGGTTTTAGTATAAAGTGAAAAATCGTTAGACCTGCGCCGACGTCACAAATTCTCAGGGGTATTCAAATGCATTAGCCCCTTAGAATCTGAAAACTGCAAGTTTGAAATTAAATATCGATTCTCGATGTTGTGAGTGTCCAAACCGATAAGTGGAAGCCAGGGACCCCAATTTGGCTATCTCAACTCAAAACTAATTGTAAGGTGGGATGGCCATTTTAAATTCCCTGTCACTTTTCAGGTGTGATCTCACTGTTCGAGCCTAAGACAATTTGCAACACATATGTAGATATCTGGACAGGCTGTCCCTAACATCCTGTCATTGGGACTTTTGCACCGTCGGCCGTTTTGGCCGTTTTACTGTATTTTGTCGCAGTCAGTCACCCTCTAATGCTGTGTTACAGCCGAAGGTTTGTGACGGACGGACACCTGGTCTCCTGCGTTGTGACGGACGGACACCTGGTCTCCTGCGTTGTGACGGACGGACACCTGGTCTCCTGCGTTGTGACGGACGGACCTGGTCTCCTGCGTTGTGACGGACGGACCTGGCCTCCTGCGTTGTGACGGACGGACACCTGGTCTCCTGCGTTGTGACGGACGGACCTGGTCTCCTGCGTTGTGACGGACGGACCTGGTCTCCTGCGTTGTGACGGACGGACCTGGTCTCCTGCGTTGTGACGGACGGACCTGGTCTCCTGCGTTGTGACGGACGGACCTGGTCTCCTGCGTTGTGACGGACGGACCTGGTCTCCTGCGTTGTGACGGACGGACCTGGTCTCCTGCGTTGTGACGGACGGACCTGGTCTCCTGCGTTGTGACGGACGGACCTGGTCTCCTGCGTTGTGACGGACGGACCAGGTCTCCTGCGTTGTGACGGACGGACCTGGTCTCCTGCGTTGTGACGGACGGACCTGGTCTCCTGCGTTGTGACGGACGGACCTGGTCTCCTGCGTTGTGACGGACGGACCTGGTCTCCTGCGTTGTGACGGACGGACACCTGGACTCCTGCGTTGTGACGGACTGACCAGGTCTCCTGCGTTGTGACGGACGGACTGACCAGGTCTCCTGCGTTGTGACGGACGGACACCTGGACTCCTGCGTTGTGACGGACGGACCTGGTCCCCTGTTCTGTGCGCAGAGCTGGTGTTCCTGGCAGAATGGTGGTCCGAGTCGGACAGCCGCTGCTATGTCGACCCCAAGGACGCGCAGTTCTTCGGCAAGGAGCACGTTCTGCTCGTCATGAACCACACTTATGAAGTGGACTGGCTGATGGGCTGGCTGATGGCGGACCGGTGCGGCACACTCGGGGTGAGATTACTATAGCTCACACTCCGACAGGTGCGGCACACTGGGGTGAGATTACTATAGGGTGAGATTACTGCGGTACACTGGGCTGAGATTACTGCGGTACACTGGGCTGAGATTACTATAGCTTACACTCCGACAGGTGCGGCACACTGGGGTGAGATTACTATAGCTCACAATCCGACAGGTGCGGCACACTGGGGCGAGATTACTATAGCCCACACTCCGACAGGTTCGGTACACTGGGGTGAGATTACTATAGGCTGAGATTACTGCGGTACACTGGGCTGAGATTACTGCGGTACACTGGGCTGAGATTACTATAGCTCACACTCCGACAGGTGCGGTACACTGGGGTGAGATTACTATAGGGTGAGATTACTGCGGTACACTGGGCTGAGATTACTGCGGTACACTGGGCTGAGATTACTATAGCTCACACTCCGACAGGTGCGGCACACTGGGGTGAGATTACTATAGGGTGAGATTACTGCGGTACACTGGGCTGAGATTACTGCGGTACATTGGGGTGAGATTACTATAGCCCACACTCCGACAGGTGCGGCACACTGGGGTGAGATTACTATAGGGTGAGATTACTGCGGTACACTGGGCTGAGATTACTGCGGTACACTGGGCTGAGATTACTATAGCTCACACTCCGACAGGTGCGGTACACTGGGGTGAGATTACTATAGGGTGAGATTACTGCGGTACACTGGGCTGAGATTACTGCGGTACACTGGGCTGAGATTACTATAGCTCACACTCCGACAGGTGCGGTACACTGGGGTGAGATTACTATAGCCCACACTCCGACAGGTGCGGCACACTGGGGCGAGATTACTATAGCTCACACTCGACAGGTGGCTCGGGGTGAGATTACTATAGCTCACACTCCGACAGGTGCGGCACACTGGGGTGAGATTACTATAGCCCACACTCCGACAGGTGCGGCACGCTCGGGGTGAGATTACTATAGCTCACACTCCGACAGGTGCGACACACTGGGGTGAGATTACTATAGCTCACAATCCGACAGGTGCGGCACACTGGGGTGAGATTACTATAGGGTGAGATTACTGCGGTACACTGGGCTGAGATTACTGCGGTACACTGGGCTGAGATTACTATAGCCCACACTCCGACAGGTGCGGCACGCTCGGGGTGAGATTACTATAGCCCACACTCCGACAGGTGCGGCACACTGGGGCGAGATTACTATAGCTCACACTCCGACAGGTGGCTCGGGGTGAGATTACTATAGCCCACACTCCGACAGGTGGCTCGGGGTGAGATTACTATAGCTCACACTCGACAGGTGGCTCGGGGTGAGATTACTATAGCTCACACTCCGACAGGTTCGGTACACTGGGGTGAGATGTGAGGTTTGGTGTTTAGCGTCACTTTGTCTACTTTTCATCCCACCACAGGGCAATGTCGCAGCCATGACTGCTACTTTAGTCGAGCATGACTTCCTGAGACCTGACACTGCAGTTTGATTACCCTGTTAGCTGGACCTTTGTAGGGTCAAGCAAACGTTGTAGCAAATCCTTGTAGGTGTAGCTGCGTTTTGAGCGGCCACCCGGCTGTGGCCGACCGTTGGCTCTCCCGTGACGGGCCGTGCCGCTGTGACCGGCAGAGCGCAAAGGTGTACGTGAAGGACATGCTGCGCTACGTGCCCATCATCGGCTGGTCGTGGGTGTTCTCCAGCATCATCTTCCTGCGCAGGAAGTGGGACGAGGACAAGGAGCACATTGACCGGCAGCTGGCGGTGCTGGCCGACTACCCGGACCCCGTCTGGGTGAGTGGCCGTCCGTCTGGGTTAGTGGCCCGTCCGACTGGGTGGGTTAGTCTCCCGTCTGGGTTAGTGGCCCGTGTGGGTGGGTGTCCCGTCTGGGTGAGGGGCCACTCTGGGTGGGTGAGTGTCCCGTGTGGGTGGGTGTCCCGTCTGGGTGAGTTGCCCGTCTGGGTTAGTGGCCCGTGTGGGTGGGTGTACCGTCTGGGTGAGTGGCCCGTCCGACGATCGCCTGGCTGCACAAGAGTAGCCAATTACAGGGTATGGAGAGAGACATGAGGTATGGGGGTATGGTAGAGGGGATGGGATGGGGCTACCCAAAGAGACTGCAGGTCAATAGGCTCAGCAGCTGCTGATAGGAGCCTCTGGCAAGCGTTACACGCCGGGCCGCTGATACTAAGATGCGGTTTGTGTGGTACTGAAATTGGACTACTCTGTTGGCGCTCGTTGGTAGTGCTGACCAGCTTTGTTGCTCGCCTCTGCCGGCCGGCGCAGCTGCTCATCTTCTGCGAGGGCACCCGCTTCACGGCGGCTAAACACGAGGCCAGCATGGAGGTGGCCCGCCGCAAGGGTCTGCCCGAGCTGCGCCACCTGCTGCTGCCGCGCACCAAGGGCTTCACATACTCGGTGTCGCGGCTGCGGGACAAGTTCGCCGCCGTCTACAACGTGACGGTGGCCTTCGACACGTGAGTGCACGCACAGTTGTGCGCGCCGCATCGGCGCAGGTCGGGGCTAAGTGTGTACGCACGCTCCGTTTAAACGCGATGCGCTCTGAATGCACTAGGCTGAGGTAATGTTTTACTCCCAGTGGTACGAAATATATCCGCAATGTGCCAGCTGCGGGTCAGAGCTGGTTCTGGTCAGTCAATGAAGCGGTCTGAGCAGGCCTCGGCTGTCGCCGGATGTGCCGTGTTTCGCCGCTGACCGGGGTACCGTTGAGTGGCCGCGGCGCCTGCTCGGGGCGGCCGTGCTACCCCGGCCGGTCGGTCCGTGCCCCGCTGACGTGTGGCCACCGCCGGCGCAGGCAGAACTATGCCCAGCCGACGCTCTACAACATGATGCTGGGCAAGAAGATCGTGGGCGACCTGTACGTGGAGCGCATCCCCATGTCGGAGGTGCCCGAGGACGAACAGGAGGCCGCCGAGTTCCTGCACCAGCTCTACCGGAACAAGGTGAGCTCCCGCACCAGCAGCCGACACCGGAACAAGGTGACTGGTGAGCTCCCGCACCAGCAGCCGGTACCGGAACAAGGTGACTGGTGAGCTCCTGCACCAGCTCTACCGGAACAAGGCTAGCCGTCTGCCGCGCAGGGCGCATTGAGTGGTGCCACTGTGCTGCCCAGGCCCGCTGTCCCCAGTGGTGTGACTGTGCTGCCCAGGCCCGCTGTCCCCAGTGGTGTGACTGTGCTGTCGACTGCAGTAGTGTGACTGTGCTGTCGATTGTCCCCAGCGGTGTGACTGTGCTGTCGACTGTCCCCAGTAGTGTGACTGTGCTGCCCAGTGCCCACTGTCCCCAGTGGTGTGACTGTACTGCCCACTGTCCCCAGTGGTGTGACTGTGCTGCCCAGTGCCCACTGTCCCCAGTGGTGTGACTGTGCTGCTGACTGCAGTAGTGTGACCGTGCTGCCGACTGCAGTAGTGTGACTGTGCTGCCCACTGTCCCCAGTGGTGTGACTGTGCTTGTCGACTGCAGTAGTGTGATTGTGGTGCCCAACTGCCCACTGTCCCCAGTAGTGTGGCTGTGCTGTCCAGGCCCACTGTCCCCAGTGGTGTGACTGTACTGCCCACTGTCCCCAGTAGTGTGACTGTGCTGCCCAGTGCCCACTGTCCCCAGTGGTGTGACTGTGCTGCTGACTGCAGTAGTGTGACTGTACTGCCGACTGCAGTAGTGTGACTGTGCTGCCGTTTGCAGTAGTAAGACTGCTGTGAATGTGCTGCCGACTGTCCCTAGTGGTGTGACTGTGCTGCCCGCTAGCCCGTGTGGACTGTCGCGCGCCCACCGTTCAGTGTGGATCCGGCGCGCGGTCTGACGGTCCGCTCCGGCCGCCCCCAGGATAAGATGCTCACCTCCTACCTGGAGACGGGCAGCTACAGCGGGCTGTCGGCCGCGCCAGAGCTGCCGCGCCTGCCCGTGGCGCGCCGCTGGTTCTCGCTGGTCAACACGCTCGGCTGGGCGGCGCTGGTGCTGAGTCCCATTGTGCGCGCGCTGCTGGCGCTACTGGTGTCCGGCAGCACGCTGCAGGCCACCTCCGGCGCGCTGATCATCGCCGCCCGTGAGTGAGCGGGCTGCGGGCTGCGGCACGGGGACACGGGCCGTGACGGTACGGGGCTGCGAGTACGGGAGGGGGAGCTGTGAGTGCATGGGACGAGCTGAGTGTATGGCATTGGGAGGGGCTGTTGGTGAGTGGGACGGGCCGAATGGGGGCGGGGGAGGAGGGGAGTGGGAGAGGAGCCGCTGGACGGTCATGCCCGGGTTGGCAGGCAGGGAATGGTGGCCCGTTTGGGTGATGTTTTACAATACAATTACAATTTTCAGGGTGTCCCAAAATTAATGTCATACCCTCTAACACTCAAACAGCCTTTATTTTGCCTCGTACGCGCAACATCAATATAATTTCCCCTTACTAATTCCATTCTAGTCACATGACCTTCGAATTTTTGTAACCCTGAAAGGTCAAGGGGTGTACGGAGGTCATTTCCGGGGCAGTACCTGGCGCGCGCGTACCAGGTGTCCAGGTTGGTAAAGCCGCTGAGCAAATCGTCCCACAGCGGGGCAGTCGGTATGGTTGCCGGCGGCATGACCCATGGCCAGGTCACCGAGGCACTGGGCATGAGTTCCTGCACGATTTGGCGCTGGTTGTCACGCAACAGAAGCGGATAGACGCCTGAGAACAAGCTAGGTCGCGGCAGGAAGACTTCCGCCAGGCAGGTAGTGCAAATCGTCATCGCGAAGCGCGGTGCTTAACCCTCGCCCTGGCAGGGGGGGTTGATGCAACCCCCCTAAGGTTTTTCAAAGCTAGCGTAAAAACGGCGGCGCGCAGCTCCGCCAAATTTGGCACAGCCTATGGGGCAACCTTTTTACATATGACCTGAAAATTTCAAGTCCGGTGACCTTGGGTCAGGTCACCAGGTCAGAAAAACCGGTACAAGGTCATGGTCAAATTTCAATTTTCTTTTTGCACCTGTCCAACTCACAGTTTTGGACTGATTTCCTTCAAACTTTCAGGATGTGCTAAGTTCACCGAGTTGTATAACATACAGTTCGTTTTTTTGAGGTCACTGACCTGAGGTCAGTTAGAGGTCATTACGTCGTAATGCTAAGCCTATGGGAAAATACTAAATTCGGAAAATACTGGAGATATCCGCTTCGTTCCATCACTTATGTGCTTTGAAACCATAGTAATTAACAGCAGGTCACTTGGTGCTTCTTTGTTTGGTGTACTTATCCATGGGTCAGGTCAAATGAGGTCAACTGAGGTCAAATGACGTTTTTGCCAATAACGTAGCACATAATGACGCTAGAGCTTAAAAAATGGTGTCGTTGTGTTCCTGGTGATCAGCCGAATCGAATGATATGCGATATGATGCAATTTGGTTAACTTGAACTTAATTAGTTAATTAAAGTTTACTTAAAAATTAAGAAAAACTTTAAGTACGCTTAAGCAGACAATTAAGTATATCATTCGACGCGCCTTGACGTGCTGAGTTCACTGGTGCTTTTCTTTTTGCTCTATCTTAAAAGTTATAAGCGAAAAGCTTTTGACCTGTTTTTAGCGAAATTTTTACATTTGTACCCCCCAAATCCCCCCTAAATATTGACCTAGAGCAACCAAATTTGCACAGGGGCGAGAACTCCAGGGGGCCCACCTACCTACCAAATTTGGTGTTTCTAGGTGCCATAGGAGCCAATCGCGAGGAGGGTCGCATCAACGCCCCCGGCCCTGCCAGGCCGTGTTATGAAAAATGCCCTGCCAGGGCGAGGGTTAAGACGGGCCAATCCACAAGGAAATTGGCAAGGAGGCTGATTGCAAACAGTCATCCAATCTCCACGTGGACAACTCATCGGTGCCGGAGGTTGTCTCTAAAGCTGAAGCCCACCAAGCCGCCTAAAACTACTGCTGAACATGTCCAGGGCCATCTTTCAGCAGGACGGCGCCGCGGCTCATCGAGCTGGAACGACGCAGGATCGATGTCGATCACACTTCCCAGTATTCTGGGAGAAGGACAAATGGCCGGGGAATAGCCATGACCTGTCGCCGATCGAAAATCTTATGGCGATCGTCTTGTAAGAGGTGAACAAAATGGCGCCAGGATAACCTGAAGGCACGCTGACCAGGAGCGTTCGATCTGCCTGGTCCAAGATCAGTCTACAGAAGCTGGACATGTTAATGTCTGGCGTCCAGGATCGTATGCTTGCCTGTATCAGGGAGACGGTGGGTTACATATGTAAGAAAAGCGCACCTCTCATGATTGTTATTTTCGTGCAATGGACGCAGGAAAGATGTGCCATTAATTTTGGGACACCCTTTGCGGACCAGCGGGTGAGGAAGTGTTGGGTTCTCGCGCGGCGCGCTGCCAGTGCCCCCTGTGACCGACACCGGCCGCAATGGGTGTCAGTGCCCGTGGACGGGCGTCAGTCTGTGTCTCGAACTGTGTGTCTGACTGTCTGCTGGAGCCGCTGGGTGCGCTGAGAATATCGCAGATGTGTGCTCTGTGTATGTTGGACGGGGTAATGTTTGGTGTGCTGAATAGCTCAGATGTGTGCTCTGTATATGTTTAGTGTGCTGAATATCTCAGGTGTGCGCTCTGTATATGTCGGACGGGGTAATGTTTGGTGTGCTGATCCTCAGGTGTGTGCTCTGTATATGTCGGACGGGGTAATGTTTAGTGTGCTGAATAGCTCAGGTGTGTGCTCTGTATAGTATATGTTGGACGGGGTAATGTTTGGTGTGCTGAATATCTCAGGTGTGCGCTCTGTATATGTCGGACGGGGTAATGTTGGTTTCGCTGAACAGCTCAGGTGTGTGCTCTGTACATGTCGGACGGGGTAATGTTTGGTGTGCTGATCCTCAGGTGTGTGCTCTGTATATGTCGGACGGGGTAATGTTTAGTGTGCTGATACTCAGGTGTGTGCTCTGTATATGTTGGACGGGGTAATGTTTGGTGTGCTGAATATCTCAGGTGTGCGCTCTGTATATGTCGGACGGGGTAATGTTTGGTGTGCTGATCCTCAGGTGTGTGCTCTGTATATGTCGGACGGGGTAATGTTTAGTGTGCTGAATAGCTCAGGTGTGTGCTCTGTATAGTATATGTTGGACGGGGTAATGTTTGGTGTGCTGAATATCTCAGGTGTGTGCTCTGTATGTGTCGGACGGGTAATGTTTGGTGTGCTGATCCGTAGGTGTGTGCTCTGTATATGTTGGACGGGGTAATGTTGGGTTCGCTGAATAGCTCAGGTGTGTGCTCTGTACATGTCGGACGGGGTAATGTTTGGTGTGCTGATCCTCAGGTGTGTGCTCTGTATATGTCGGACGGGGTAATGTTTAGTGTGCTGATACTCAGGTGTGCGCTCTGTATGTGTTGGACGGGGTAATGTTTGGTGTGCTGATCCTCAGGTGTGCGCTCTGTATGTGTTGGACGGGGTAATGTTTGGTGTGCTGAATAGCTCAGGTGTGTGCTCTGTGTATGTTGGACGGGGAAATGTTTGGTGTGCTGATCCTCAGGTGTGCGCTCTGTATGTGTTGGACGGGGAAATGTTTAGTGTGCTGATCCTCAGGTGTGCGCTCTGTATGTGTTGGACGGGGTAATGTTTGGTGTGCTGAATAGCTCAGGTGTGTGCTCTGTGTATGTTGGACGGGGTAATGTTTGGTGTGCTGAATAGCTCAGGTGTGCGCTCTGTATGTGTTGGACGGGGTAATGTTTGGTGTGCTGAATAGCTCAGGTGTGTGCTCTGTATATGTTGGATGGGGTTACGGGGACGGGTCAGTAAACGCTCTGTGCCGGCATGGCGCCGCTGCTCTCTGTTTTATTAACTGGTGTGACCTGTTGCAGTGTTCTTCGGCATGTACAAGATGATCGGACTGACCAAAATCAGTCGGGCCTCGTCGTACGGCCACTCGGACGGGAAAAAGTCCCAGTAGCTGGCCGGCGGGCGGCCGGCCCGGTGCTCGAGGTCCGACCGCCGGCCGGCGTCCTGCTCCTGTCAGGCGGCACCGAGAGCGCCGTCTAGTATTACCCAGCCGGCTCGGACGCGCTGTAGGGGGACTGTATTATCCGGCTCCGCTGCCGCCGGACGTCGGCCGTCTCGGCTGACGGCGTGTGTGTGTGAGTGGGTCGGGCGCTGTGGTGTGTGCGTGTGTCCGAGCGGGGTGCTTTGGCGCGCGGCGTGCAGCCAGGGCGTCACTGCTATGTCTAGTCGTGCCCTGCCGATGGGTGGGGAGGCGGGCGGGGCCCGCGCCGCCGGGGGAGAGGTGTGCGGGCCGACACCAGGGAGGCCGGCCGGGCAGGGCGAGCCCAGTCGGCCGGGGGACACCGGTCCACGCAGGGCTGGGGATTTTACCGCGCTGTATACGTAGTCCTGCCGAAATGGCTCAACAACCGCTGGGAATGGACGGAAACTTGCAGCGCGACCGCGTCAGTTTTAAATGGGTGCTGTGATGACAGCGTACAAAAGTATTTATTAATCAGTCTTGAGTGATCAGAAGCTCCGAGGTGTGATCAGACTGCAAGTTTGCGTTGTTTTTCAGTCGTAACTATCGACGTACCAAATGAACGGGTTCCAGTACGCGGGCTCGGCGCGTGTGCTGGCCGAGCATGTACTCCACATGGTATGCAGTTCCACGGGGTGGCCGGGGCTCGTCCGACCGCCGCGCGGCGGCACGTCGCGGGGCCACTTCCACAGCGGCGCGGGCGCGCAGGTCAAACGGGGCGACCCGGTGCCGCCAGCCATGACGTGTTTGTGATCGCTGTCGGCCACCGTGATGTGGGTTTCCTCCGGGGCATTGTGATACCCTCGCACGCCAATTGCTGATATCCGTGCCAATAGTTGGATCACCTAGAAATGAAAATACATGTAATTGGATCGACTGAACGGGTCTGATGTTAAGCCCTGCCGACTCGGTCCGTCACCGCATCTCCAATCGGAACGATGTGCTCCTCGATACTACAGAGGGGTCGCGGTTTGACCCGACAATCGACCAGATCTTACGCAGTGACCTCGATTTCGGACACAGATAGACAATCTCAGCATCGGAAGGTCTCCGGGTAGCCCGGTGTCGACTGGGCTGGGCTGATAGGGGCGGTATTAGCCCGTGCTGCGGAGCGGCGGCGGCGGCGGCCCTCAGTGCCAGTGCGGCCGCCTCCTGCGACACGGCGCCCGGCAGCGGATAGGCCGCCCGCGGGCCACTTCAGACAGAGGTGGGTGTGAGGCCGCCGGCCGCCTGATGGCGACCAGGGCTCACAATGTGTGAGGGCTACAAGTTACAACACTAGGTTATATGGCTTTGAGCATTTTTTTTTTTCTGTTGTAAATGTTATCACAGAGTCGCAAAACGCAGGTTTACATCCAACATAAAAAATGGGACAATCAATTTACAAGATATGTAGCTTCGATTGCTGATACACCATCATATCCATATTGTCTTGGCCTTCCATGTACGCCGCACACTGCACACTTGTTTCCCGCTGCGCTATAGATAGTGTTTGGTCCGATGATTCGGGAGACAGAGGTGAGGCCCGGTTGCCGGCCGAGTTACAGAGGCTCTGCTCCCCAGATACCATGGACGAAGCCCTGCAGGCCAAGCTGGTGTCGCTGGCCGTGCTCGGCCTGGGCTCGCTGGCGGCCGGCTGCCTGCCCATGGCCGCGCTGGCCATCGTGCGGCGCGGCAAGCGCGGCCGGGACGCCACGCTGCGCGTCACGGCCGACAGCACGCTCTTCTCTTACCTGCTGTGCTTCGGCGGCGGCGTGCTGCTCTCCACGCTGCTCTGCCACATGATCCCCGAGAGCCTGGAGAGCTGGGACGACCTGCAGGCCGACCAACTGGTGGTCGAGAACGACGTCCCGCTGCCGAGCATCCTCACCGGGGTGGGATTCTTCCTGGTCTACGCTGTCGAGGAGGTGGCGCACGCCATCATGCACGGCCGGCGGCGGCCGGGGGCGGCCAAGGTGACGCCCCAGGTGGAGCTGAGCGAGCTGAGCGCCGTCGAGCTGCAGCGGCGCGCCCCGCAGCCGGCCGCCGCCGACGAGCCGCACTCGCACGGCGCCGAGGAGCCGCACTCGCACGGCGCCGCGCTGGCCGAGTCGGCCAGCGCGCTGTCCACCGTCCTGCTGCTGGTGGCGCTCTCGTTCCACGCCGTCCTCGAGGGGATCGCCGTGGGCGCCGAGGAGGAGGCGAACGACGTCTACCTGATGCTGGCCGCCATCTGCAGCCACAAGTTCGTGCTGGTGTTCATCCTGGGCCTGGAGCTGCTGGCCACGCGGCTGCAGCCGGCCGCCCAGCTCGGCTGCATCCTGACCTTCGTCGGCGCCACGCTGCTCGGCATCGGCATCGGCATCGGCGTGCTGCAGCTGGACGCCGACGGGCGCGCGCACGGCATCTCGCTGATGGTGCTGCAGACGCTGTCGGCGGGCGCGCTCATGTTCGTCTGCTTCATGGAGGTGCTGAGCAGGGAGCGCAGCCGGCACGGCCACAAGCTGGCGCGGCTCGCCTGCACGGCGTTCGGGTTCGCGCTGATCGCGCTGCTCGTCAGCCTGGTCACCGAGCCCGAGGAGGACTGAGAGCACCGAGGACTGGGAGCACGGAGGACTGAGAGCCCGAGGACTGAGAGCACGGAGGACTGGGAGCACGGAGGACTGGGAGCACGGAGGACTGAGAGCGCGGAGGACTGAGAGGACTGGGAGCACGGAGGACTGAGAGCACGGAGGACTGAGAGCACGGAGGACTGGGAGCACGGAGGAGGACTGGGAGCACGGAGGCGGGGACGCTGCGCGGACGGAACAGCACGGTGGAGGGCTGGGACGAGGCGGCTGCGCGGTCGGTCCGTAGGCGACCCGTGCGACATGTCAGCGGTGGGACCGGCTGAATGAGGGAACAATGAGGGGTGGCAAAGAGAACAATGAGAACAATGAGGCGAAGGCGAGGAGACGAAGGCTGCCATAAGCTACTGGCCATTTCTGCACTGCGTGCGATTTGAGCTATGGGCCACTGATGGTAGCCGGCGGTGAGCTTTAAGTACGAACCGTCCACTTGTTCATTGCCATGGTTGTGTTCTAGTTGCGGTTGTGGTCTAGGTGAACTGTGAAATTCCATCAGGCCATCGGCAGGGATCGCCGGCCTCCGGACGCAGTGTCCGCGGGATTAGGTACAGCCGGTGTCAGACGATATCTTATCTTATTCGCGTATGAGTGCCTGCCAGCGGTATCTAAAGGCGTTGCTATCGGTCGGAGCGGCTGCTGGTGAAATGCGGTCCGTATCGGAGCCGAGCTGCCCCGATACACCTGTTTCTGCTGAGAACTGTGTAACGCAGTACACACTCGTCCTCACACAAAGCTGATCTCGTTTGCCATCATGAACCATTATGTAGATATGTATATCATTGTATGTTTCATGTACCTAATTTGATCTCGGAATTTCAATGTCAGTGACCTAAGGTCAGGTAAAACTTTGCAATCTCTCTATTATAAGTCAAAAAAGAGGAAATTGAGAGGCACCTCTTTTGGACGAACGTTCGTCCAATGCCCGTACGTCAATCATTTTGTCTGTTGTCTTGGAATAGGCCCTTTCGGTCTAACGAGACCACCTAGGGCCGGAAGGATGATAGGAATTAGGGGGAGGCATTGGTCTGGGCGAGCACCCTGGTGAGTCGCCGGGGCTGAGTCCGTCCAGGGGACACGCCGACCAGCCCCCGAAGCACTCTCCGCACACGGCTACGGGGCTCGCTCTTATGGGCAGTGCCGCATGGGATAAAGTAGTTACCCGTCCAGCCCGGAGCAGGATTTGCGGCGTGCAGGAAAATGATTCCGTCTGTCCTGACTCCTAAGGATGACAAGAGGGAACGGAGGGCGTCAATAAATAGGTATGATTGACAATGCATACGATTGACGGATGTAGCTACGTTATTCTAACTAAACGCTTTCAAACGCCGGGCGAGTTACAAGCTAATATGACACGCCGAACCAGAAAACTGCACCCGTGACCTCTATTCATGTCCCTGAGGTCATCTCAGGTCACCAAAGGTGTCGAAATATTATTCCCGATAAATTTCATACCTACGTTTTGGAACCAGATACCTATTTATGTCCTATGGAACAGTGGTGATATGCTGTGGAACTTGCATTGCAATGTACCTACCTACAGGGTGTTTCACAATAAATGTTACTTTTGAATAGCTTAAATGAAGATCTTACTTGTTCGTACTTCGTAAGCGCGTAAATTTTATATGCATTTTGCTGCACCGCAGCTTTGTAGCGGTTTTTAGTCCTTACATTTTTTTTTTACAAACCGTCAACGGTTCCATCAGTATGGTATGGACGTGCAATGCCAACACCGTCAAAACGGGTCAATTCGCTGTGTACAGATGATGAGGCGGTATGGGTGGTCATGCATTACGGCGCTTTGCGGAGTCTGACCGCAGTGCGACGGAGTTTCGGTAGCCATTTAAAAGGAGGAAGGATATTCCGTCAAAAATGTCTTTCAAACGGGTAGTAGAAAGGTTCCAGAAGACTGGAAACACCAGACCAGCCCCGACTCCTGGCCGGACGGCGATCCCAGAGAATGTGGTTGAAAAAGTCAGACGGAAGGGTGGCATAGTGGAGAACCCGTGAAGGGTGCTGAACTGAAAGTTATATGTTCATCAGTCCTACTGTTCTGCTGTCTCATGAGGTAATACTCATGAGCCATATTGTAATACATGTCACTGAAACATCGTCGTTTGAAAAGCAACATTCATTGTGAAGGACCCTGAAGCTTAACAGCGAATTGACCTGTTTTGATGGTGTGGACATTGCACGTACATAAAGAATGCAGTTGATGATTCGTCATAGTTTTTGTAAGGATAAAAAACCCGAAAGAATTTGCAACAAAATGAATATGGAATTTATGGGCATACGAATAGCTGAGGTCATTTTAAAAGCTTATCAAAAGTAACGTTTATTGTGAAACACCCTGTAGTGTTTATTAACTATAATGGAAGGAAAGAACCGCTTACTCGATTCGGGCCTCGGTAACAGTGAAAAACGGAAGTTAGAAATCTAAATTCTGAAAAAGTAAAGATGCCCAAAACATCCAGAGTAGCCCTTCATAAAATTTTGCACCCCAACCAAAATTATCTTCCGCCGCCCCTGGTTGGGGGGGGGGGGACGTACCTATGCCATTTTGAGAGTGCGGGACGCGTCCCCACCCCGGTCGGTGGCGGCGCCCATGTTGACGTGTTATGACCTCCTGGATTATCGCTTAAGGTCAGGTAATCTATTACCTGACCTTATTATGCTGACACTTGCATTTTTACACATCAGGTAATGTATGTTCCGGTGGGACGATGGCAAGCGACCGATGCTGCCCTTTACAATCCCCGCTAAAGCAAAGTCACCACTGACTGGCGAAATTGTAAGAAAATACGTTCTCGTGTAATTGCTTTCCTGTCTGTCTATCCGTCCGTCAGTCAGCCCATAGGACCGGCCGTCGGCAGTTCTACGGTGTCAGTTCGCCCTGGGACCCCCCCCCCCCCACGGCCCCCCGGCCTGCACAGCACACACACACGCCTCGGGGCTGGTTTGTATTAGATTCAGCCGATTCAGGTAAAAGACGTCCCACAGTGACGGCCGCCGCCGGCACACCAGCGGCCCGGGCCGGCCGGCAGACACACCCGGCGGCACACACACGCACACACACACACAGATCACGCCGGCACAGCTCAGCGGCCCGGGCCGGCCGGCACACACACCCGGCGGCACACACACGCGCGCAGATCACGCTGGCACAGCTCAGCGGCCCGGGCCGGCCGGCACACACACCCGGCGGCACATAGATCACGCCGGCACGCGCGCGCGCAGCCACACTCTTTGTACTCGTTATATGGGTCGGTTTGGGCCGGCGCTTCCCACGGATGGGCCGGCTGGCCGGTGCCGGCCGTCTGTCCCCCGGCGCGGCCCCGCGGCGGTCGCCGTGCAGACCTCCCGGCGCCGGCGAGCCGGCAATACTGACGACCCAGCGCCGGCGGCCAGCCACGGCCCACTGCCGCCACCTCAGTCACACCACCGTCAATAAACGTATAAAACTTAAACGTAAGCCACGCAAAACATATCTAATTAAACCCTCACGCGAATTGATAATAAACAAAATCTACACCAACAAAATCAATACAAACGTCCGTCATGATATTTGATTGTTAAGCTAAAAATAAGTCATCCAAAGACACGTACATCAATGCTCCTTAAGAAGTTAAGTACATCAATACGCACAGCGCAAATATAATATGACCACTAATATGAAAGGCGAGCTGAGATATACAGCAGTCTAAAACACAAAAAGCTAGCCCGAGTCGTGAGCAAAACGGCGACGAGTCCGCCAGCGGAGGGCCGACAGCGGGCCCACTCCCCTGCCGGCCAGCCCCCCCACACGCCGAGCACCGGGCGTCTGCAGGGACTGGGCGCGGCCACACAGAGACACATTGGCACCGCCCGGCGGCCCCAGCGGCCGGCCATCCTACCGACGACAGACAGGGCTGCGGCTCCCTCCCACCGCGGCCGGTGCGGACAGCTCCGGCTCCGGCCAAACTCCCCGGCCCAGTGCAGGCCTGGCCGGCTCCGCCCCCCCCCCCCCCGGCTCACCAGCCGGCCATAACGACTACCCCCACCAATGGCAGACCCCCCGGCTCACCAGCCGGCCGTAACGACTAACCCACCGACGGCAGACACTCTACATACGCACACACTGTTTGTTACGCACTGTATGCCTCGCCCAATACGTATGTAAAGCCCAGCCAGGGTGACTATCGCACGCTCTAAAAAATAAACGCTCTGTGCTAAACGTGTCAGCAAGAGCGTACATGCCCAATGCCCAGTATGGGGCGCCGCCTCTGAGCGGTTTCCGGGCGCGTTTCACCCGTTTCGCCCCAGTTGACCCGTGTCCGCCAAGGCACGCAGTTTGGCGGGCTCGGCGCCACGTGGCAGCCGGCACGAGTCGCGGCTTCTACCGCTACCTCACTAGATAAACCAGGGCCGGCCCTGGCTATGTGAGCACCACCGGCGTGTGAGCCGTGCGCCACTCCGGCCGCCGCCCAGGGACGCTCGGCAGTCGCCAGACGGGTGCTACGGGCGAGCGGCTGGGCGGCGGCCGAGCCCAGCCCGCCCGAGCGTCCGTCGCCAGCCGTAAAAATTCCGGCGCCAGGTGGAGCAGTCGCTCACAGTGGCACAGCTATCATCACAATGTGTTCCACGCTATCCGAGTGACATGAGATCCCTCCATCGTATTGCGCTAGTCTACTTAAAATTAATGTCCCTTTTCAGACTACTCAGGGAAATCCGCCCACCACGTCTGACGATACCATTGCGCTACCAACAGCAATGTATGGAGATTGCAGGTACGACCATAGAGCGGCTGGCACGGAGATTGCGGTCCTTGCCAGACTCGTATGTATATCGACATTGGACTGGTGATATCGTTAAATCGACTTGCCGAAAGACGCAGGAGACCACGGTAAAGGTATTGAGTGCGTAAGCATAACTACAATATGTTTAGTTTAGCGTCATTGGGTCATTGGATAGAAGGATCGATAGTAGTTTCATATACGTGATATCACTGTTATGCAAGCATTCCTGACACAAAGCTTGCTCCAATGAAGCTGTTAGCCATTATGCAGTGCTTAGGGCTTGGCTACCATACAGGGATAAATGCTAGTTAAAAACACATTACATGACAGCCACATCTAAGAGCAAATTACAATTTGTGCATTTGCCAAATGTAGTAATGTTAGCCCGTCACTGATCGAGAGGCTGGGAAAAGTTGACGCTTCGCCCACGCTGACTACTACCGCTCACTTAGGAGCTTATCATGGGATTATCCAGAAATTGCATGTAGCTTCTCTTATTATTCGCAAAAAAAAATTAAAAAAAATGTAGCTTCTCTTACATTATTAAAAAATGCTTTACCTGTCCGCAAAAACTTCGTTTGGTTTCGTCGAAAACCTTTCGGGTCGCTGCTTTTGGGAGATCACCTCAGCCAGCTTCAGCTAAAAAGTGGCATAACTTTTCAACCCTGTCCACGGCTTTTTGGCAAATGTGTCACCGAAGAACCAAAATAACAAGCTCTAAGAACCACTTTCTCAGCTCTTAACCCTCGCACTATAGGGTGAGGGAGGTCGAACGGGCCCCTCGGTTTTTCGCAAATAAGTCGCGTAAAAAGCGGCCGATCGCAACAAAACTCTCATTACCCTCGAGTTTATCAATTTTACACCTACCCTGAAAATTTCAAGACCATAACCCAAATGACCTTTGACATGTGACCTATTTCTCGAGATCATGTTTGCTCGAAATCGCGATTCGGCGTATGTCGGCTTACGTTATCCGCGCGTTTGCAGTTTTTTTGTGGTTTTAAACGCTAAAACATGTGAAATGCTGGCTCATACACCTAGCGAAATCGGGCTAGTTGTATTCGACCCCGCGCTCGTCAAAGCTCTAAATGTGAATATGCTTAATTTCGAACTTCACCAGTCACCTAACCTCAAAATTTAAATTCCAGGATTGTTTTTATGTGCCTCGGTGACACCCTTCCAACCCCGCATGGTACTAGCAAAAAAAAAAAAAAAACTCAAATATCAGGCGAATATACTTTTTTTAAACGCAGTCAAATCACGGCTAAAAAAAATTGCGATTGGAAAGTCGGAGAGAAAATAAAACCTTTGTACAATTGCGTATGACTGGAAACAACAACCTCAAGGCAGAGGCTAAAGCCATTAAAACAGCAAAAGCGGCGCATGAACCAATTCAATCACCCGCAAGCAACTTGTAACCTGTAACCCATGTAAACTGTGGATGAGCGTATGCCGATGAGCGAATTCTGCGGTTCGGCCTGCAAACCATAAATATAAAATATTTTAAAATCATGCCCAGCAGCTGGAAACCAATGTTACTGCGTAATTCATTGCGGTTATCTACAAGATCTCACTACAGTACACAGCAATGTGGACCTTCTTTCCTGTTCCTCCGGGATCCCGTCCCACCCGGATCAGCGCTGTGCGGGATCGGATCAGGGCCGGTAAGGAGCGCTGTCGGCCGGCGTTCCAATGGCCCGGCGTGGTGGGCCGCCGCGCGCCCGCTCCCTGGGAGCCCCCGCCTGGGTCCGGACGGCACCAGAGGGTCCCGTGGCGCCGCACGGCGCAGTGCGGCCCGGTCCGACGGCCGGCGCCGCTCCCGGGGCCCCGCGCCGCCTGCCCGCCTCCCTCCTCCCCCAGACCCGCCCGACGGCCTCCCCCAGACCCGCCCACAGCCTCCCCACGCTCCCCGACCGGCCTTCCCCAGACCCGCCCGACGGCCTCCCCCAGATCCGCCCACAGCCTCCCCCAGACTCGCCCACAGCCTCCCCTTCCCCAGACCCGCCCACAGCCTCCCCACGCTCCCCGACCGGCCGAGCCAGAGACAATGCAGGCGGCCTCCTGAACTCTGTAACCCCTCACTTTCACTCGGAAACCCAGCTCATGATTCACCAGACCACAACCACATCACCGCTGGAGGCGGCCCCAGCCCCGGCGCCGGAGAGCAGGCAGGCCCCGACGACCGGTGACGCCGTCACCTGGACCGGGCAGACGGCGTCACCTGGACCGGGCAGACGGCGTCACCTGGACCGGGCAGACGGCGTCAGTAGACCGGGCAGACGGCGTCACCTGGACCGGACAGACGGCGTCACCTGGACCGGGCAGACAGCGTCACCTGGACCGGGCAGACGGCGTCACTGGACGGCGGCCGTCACTGGACGGCGGCCGTCACTGTCCGAGCGACTCCAACCGGAACGACTGCTCGGCGCTCGGGTCGATGAGGTCGCCGTGCGGGTTGGTGAGCATCTGCAGACCTTCCAGGTCCAGCTCGCCCAGAGGCTCTGCAACGGCCGCCCGACAGCTCAGCGGGGGAGCGGACAGCCCAGTGGGAGGGGGGGGGGGCGGACAGCTCAGTGGGGGGGGGGGTACAGCTCAGTGGGGGAGGACAGCTCAGTGGGGGGGGGGGAGCAGCTCAGTGGGGCCAACAGCTCAGGGGGGGGGGGGGACAGCTCAGTGGGCCGGACAAATCAGTGGGGGAGGACAGCAGAGCTCAGCCACTGACTGTGACAGTTCAGCCACTGAAAGTGGTGACAGTTCAACCACTGACAGTGGTGACAGTCAACCACTGACAATGGTGACAGTTCAACCACTGACAGCCACTGGTAAGGCAAATAAAAGGAAAACAGCGCATTTCGTTTAGCCAGGATTTGGCGTCCCACTATCTCGGAGAGAGGCACGCTGAGTGCTGACGCCTCAGCTCGGAGGCTCCCGTTTCGATTAGACTGGGGTGAGGGTCACCGCCCCAGGCCCGACCCTACCAGCCTCTACCGCCCGGGCACCCCGTGCCGCGGGGCGCGACTGCCACCGCCGGCCGGCTGACCTGGGTCGCGCAGCTGGGCCGAGTCGCCGTGCAGCAGCGCGCTCCCGTCTCGCAGCACTCGCGGAATGTGCAGCTCAGAAAACGCCGCCGGCGACGAAAAGTCTGCCGACGAGTGGCACACGGGTCAGTCACTGCCCAACACACGGGTCAGTCAGCCCAACACACGGGTCAGTCAGCCCAACACACGGGTCAGTCAGCCCAACACACGGGTCAGTCAGCCCAACACACGGGTCAGTCAGCCCAACACACGGGTCAGTCAGCCCAACACCGGCCAGCAACCAGACACAGACGGTTAGGTCAGTACAGACTAGAGCATCCAGAGCCTGCACAGATCAACGGTCAGCTCCAAACGGCAACGGTCAGACCAATTCAGATCATCCGCACGGCCCACGCTCAAGTCACGACAGTGTGATCAAACTACCCCACAACCAACAGACCATGTGATCAAACTACCTTGACAACCAACAGACCACGTGATCAAACTACCCCCACAACCAACAGACCATGTGATCAAACTACCCCCACAACCAACAGACCATGTGACCAAACTACCCCACAACCAACAGACCATGTGATCAAACTACCCCCACAACCAACAGACCATGTGATCAAACTACCCCGCACCCACCGAACAGCGTGACTAAACTACCCAGTGGCTAGCAACAGTGTTGGAATTGTCATTTTGGGTGCTAGACCCGGAGAATAAAATCGGTCCGGAGAACCGGCCAGCTTTTTACGAGCGAGCGAGCGCAGCGAGCGAAGCGAGTCTTTCCCATATAACGGAAAAATCTCAGTATGAGCGGCCCGGCCCGGCCTGTAACGCTTTTGAGAGGCTTATATCTCAGCAACCGCTGAACCGACTGGCCTGCGGTCTTTTTTGCTGGGTAGCCCCATCCCTTCTACCCCGTAATTGACTACTTTTGATACATCTCAGTGACCGTCGTGGCACGTGCCGCGTGAAAAGTCAAGGGTGTTTAAGCTGTTTTGCAAAAGTAATGATTTTGATAGGCTCATATCTCAGCAGCCGCTTGGGCGATTGTCTTGCGGTAATTTTTGTAGGGTAGCTGCATCCCTTCTACAAAAGGTCGGACACTCTTGATCTATGTGAGTGACCCCCACTGCACGTGCAAAATACAAAAAGATGTGCCAAATTTGTTCCCATTTCAATAACTCGGTAATTACTGGATCGATTTCGCTGAAACTTGGCATACAGGTAGGCACCCACCAGGCAATGCATTCCCATGTGTTGCGGTTCAGGTGCTGCTGCACGTGCGCACGTGCAGGGGGCGCTTCCAAATCTCGAGAACGGCTGGGCCGATTGCGCTCAAATTTGGTACACGGTTGGGGACCAGTTAGGTGCCATGCAAAAGTCAGTTTGGACCCCGTTTGCACGTGCGCACGTGCAGAATGCCGCTTCCAGATCTCAGGAACGGCTGGGCCGATTGCGCTCAAATTTGGCACACCGCTAGCGACCGGTTAGAAGGGTGCTTTGCACAAGCCCATTGGAAGTACCCTCTTGCCCTTCCGCACGTGCAGGGCTCACTATCTCGCTCGCTCGTTCTTCGCCCAAAAGGCGTTTTACTGGTAAATAATAATATCAACTCAACCACAGCAGCAGATGTTTGGCTCAATAAATGTGACATCTGAGAAAATGTGTTACTCTGGTATGTTATTACTGTACATTTTTGATGCAATAATGAGTTTTTAATCACAAAGGCTAGCAAATTTAGGAGATTTCGGGCGTCGTAATCCAAAAAATTATTTCCAGCACTGCCCCGTAGCCACAGTGTAGACTAACCGACTACCCCGACCATAGTGTGGACTACCCGACTACCCCGACCACCGCAGACTACCCGACTACCCCGACCACAGTGTAGACTACCCGACTACCCCGACCACAGTGTAGACTATTTACCCGACTACCCCGATCACAGTGTAGACTACCCGACTACCCCGACCACAGTGTAGACTACCCGACTACACCAACCACAGTGTATGTAGACTATCCGACTACCCCGATCACAGTGTAGACTACCCGACTACCCCGAGCACAGTGTGGACTACCCGAGCCCGACTACCCCGACCACAGTGTGGACTACCCGACTACCCCGACCACCGTGTAGACTACCCGACTACCCCGACCACCGCAGACTACCCGACTACCCCGTCCACAGTGTGGACTACCCGAATACCCCGTCCACAGTGTGGACTACCCGACTACCCCGACCACAGTGTAGACTATTTACTCGACTACCCCGACCACAGTGTGGACTACCCGACTACCCCGTCCACAGTGTGGACTACCCGACTACCCCTACCACAGTGTAGACTACCCGACTACCCCGACCACAGTGTGGACTACCCGACTACCCCGACCACCGTGTAGACTACCCGACTACCCCGACCACCGCAGACTACCTGACTACCCCGTCCACAGTGTGGACTACCCGACTACCCCGTCCGCAGTGTGGACTACCCGACTACCCCGACCACAGTGTAGAATATTTACTCGACTACCCCGACCACAGTGTGGACTACCCGACTACCCCGACCACAGTGTGGACTACCCGACTACCCCGTCCACAGTGTGGACTACCCGAATACCCCGACCACAGTGTAGACTACCCGACTACCCCGACCAGAGTGTAGACTACCCGACTACCCCGACCACAGTGTGGACTACCCGACTACCCCGACCACAGTGTGGACTACCCGACTACCCCGACCACAGTGTGGACTACCCGACTACCCCGACCACAGTGTGGACTACCCGACTACCCCGTCCATAGTGTGGACTACCCGGCTACCCCGACCACAGTGTAGACTACCTGACTACCCCGTCCACAGTGTGGACTACCCGACTACCCCGACCACAGTGTGGACTACCCGACTACCCCGACCACAGTGTGGACTACCCGACTACCCCGACCACAGTGTGGACTACCCGACTACCCCGACCACAGTGTGGACTACCCGACTACCCCGTCCACAGTGTGAACTACCCGACTACCCCGACCACAGTGTAGACTACCTGACTACCCCGACCACAGTGTAGACTACCTGACTACCCCGACCACAGTGTAGACTATTTACCCGACTACCCCGACCACAGTGTGGACTACCCGACTACCCCGACCACAGTGTAGACTACCTGACTACCCCGTCCACAGTGTGGACTACCCGACTACCCCGACCACAGTGTAGACTACCGACTACCCCGACCAAAGTGTGGACTACCCGACTACCCCGACCACAATGTAGACTACCGACTACCCCGACCACAGTGTAGACTACCTGACTACCCCGACCACAGTGTGGACTGTGGACTACCCGACTACTCCGACCACAGTGTGGACTACCCGACTACCCCGACCAAAGTGTGGACTACCCGACTACCCCGTCCACAGTGTGGACTACCCGACTACCCCGACCATAGTGTGGACTACCCGACTACCCCGACCATAGTGTGGACTACCCGACTACCCCGACCATAGTGTGGACTACCCGACTACCCCGACCACAGTGTGAACTACCCGACTACCCCGACCACAGTGTGGACTACGACTACCCCGACCACAGTGTAGGCTATTTACCCGACTACCCCGACCACAGTGTGGAGTGTGGACTACCCGACTACCCCGACCACAGTGTGGATTACCCGACTACCCCGTCCACAGTGTGGACTACCCGGCTACCCCGACCACAGTGTAGACTACCCCACTACCCCGACCACAGTGTGGACTACCCGACTACCCCGACCACACTGTAGACTACCCGACTACCCCGACCACACTGTAGACTACCCGACTACCCCGACCACAGTGTAGACTACCTGACTACCCCGTCCACAGTGTGGACTACCCGACTACCCCAACCACACTGTAGACTACCCGACTACCCCGACCACAGTGTAGACTACCTGACTACCCCGACCATAGTGTGGACTACCCGACTACCCCGTCCACAGTGTGGACTACCCGACTACCCCGACCATAGTGTGGACTACTTGACTACCCCGTACACAGTGTGGACTACCCGACTACCCCGACCACAGTGTAGACTACCTGACTACCCCGACCACAGTGTGAACTACCCGATTACCCCAACCACAATGTAGACTACCGACTACCCCGACCACAGTGTGGACTACGACTACCCCGACCACAGTGTAGACTATTTACCCGACTACCCCGACCACAGTGTGGACTACCCGACTACCCCGACCACAGTGTGGACTACGACTACCCCGACCACAGTGTAGTCTATTTACCCGACTACCCCGACCACAGTGTGGACTACCCGACTACCCCGACCACAGTGTAGACTTCCTGACTACCCCGACCACAGTGTGGACTACCCGACTACCCCGACCACAGTGTGGACTACCCGACTACCCCGACCACAGTGTAGACTACCTGACTACCCCGTCCACAGTGTGGACTACCCGACTACCCCGACCATAGTGTGGACTACCCGACTACCCCGACCACAGTGTGAACTACCCGACTACCCCGACCACAGTGTGGGCTACCTGACTACCCCGACCACAGTGTAGACTACCCCGACCACAGTGTTGACTACCCGACTACCCCGACCACAGTGAGGACTACCCGACTACCCCGACCACAGTGTGGACTACCCGACTACCCCGACCACAGTGTGGACGATCCGCGCACCCACCGGACAGTGTGATTTCGGGGATGGTCTGCGAAGTGCTGGTGGGCGCCGTCTGCAGCGGCGCTCCGCGGGCCGTCATGGCCGACGACTGGGAGCTGCAGCTGCTGACTGACGGCGGTGCAGACATCTCCTGCGGCACAGACACACCGCAGCGGTGGCAGAGACACACAGACACATACAGCGGTGGTAGAGACACACAAACACATACAGCGGTGGCAGAGACACGCAGACACATACAGCAGTGGTGGCAGAGACACACAGACACATACAGCGGTGGCAGAGACAGGCAGACACACCGCAGCGGTGGCAGAGACAGGCAGACACACCGCAGCGGTGGCAGAGACACGCAGACACATACAGCGGTGGCAGACACAGACACATACAGCGGTGGTAGAGACACACAGACACATACAGTGGTGGTAGAGACACACAGACACATACAGCGGTGGTAGAGACACACAGACACACCGCAGCGGTGGTAGAGACACACAGACACATACAGCGGTGGCAGAGACAGGCAGACAAACCGCAGCGGTGGCAGAGACAGGCAGACACACCGCAACGGTGGCAGAGACACGCAGACACATACAGCGGTGGCAGAGACACACAGACACTTACAGCAGTGGAAGAGACACACAGACACACCGCAGCGGTGGCAGAGACACGCAGCGGTGGTAGAGACACACAGACACATACAGCGGTGGCATAGACAGGCAGACACACCGCAGCGGTGGCAGAGACAGGCAGACACACCGCAGCGGTGGCAGAGACACGCAGACACACCGCAGCGGTGGCAGAGACACACAGACACACCGCAGCGGTGGTATAAACACACAGACACACCGCAGCGGTGGCAGAGACACACAGACACACCGCAGCGGTGGCAGAGACACACAGACACACCGCAGCGGTGGCAGAGACAGGCAGACACACCGCAGCGGTGGCAGAGACACACAGACACACCGCAGCGGTGGCAGAGACACACAGACACACCGCAGCCGTGGCAGAGACACGCAGACACATACAGCGGTGGTAGAGACACACAGACACACCGCAGCGGTGGTAGAGACACACAGACACATACAGCGGTGGCAGAGACAGGCAGACACACCGCAGCGGTGGCAGAGACAGGCAGACACACCGCAGCGGTGGCAGAGACACGCAGACACACCGCAGCGGTGGCAGAGACACACAGACACACCGCAGCGGTGGCAGAGACACACAGACACATACAGCGGTGGCAGAGACAGGCAGACACACCGCAGCGGTGGCAGACAGGCAGACACACCGCAGCGGTGGCAGAGACACACAGACACTTACAGTGGTGGTAGACACAGACACATATAGCGGTGGCAGAGACACACAGACACATACAGTGGTGGTAGACACAGACACATACAGCGGTGGCAGAGACACACAGACACACCGCAGCGGTGGCAGAGACACGCAGACACATACAGCGGTGGTAGAGACACACAGACACACCGCAGCGGTGGTAGAGACACACAGACACACATACAGCGGTGGCAGAGACAGGCAGACACACCGCAGCGGTGGCAGAGACAGCCAGACACACCGCAGCGGTGGCAGAGACACGCAGACACACCGCAGCGGTGGCAGAGACACACAGACACACCGCAGCGGTGGCAGAGACACACAGACACATACAGCGGTGGCAGAGACACACAGACACATACAGCGGTGGCAGAGACAGGCAGACACACCGCAGCAGTGGCAGAGGCAGGCAGACACACCGCAGCGGTGGCAGAGACACACAGACACATACAGCGGTGGTAGAGACACACAGACACACCGCAGCGGTGGCAGAGACACACAGACACACCGCAGCGGTGGTAGAGACACACAGACACATACAGCGGTGGTAGAGACACACAGACACTTACAGCAGTGGTAGAGACACACAGACACATACAGCGGTGGCAGAGACACACAGACACACCGCAGCGGTGGCAGAGACACGCAGACACATACAGCGGTGGCAGACACAGACACATACAGCGGTGGTAGAGACACACAGACACATACAGCGGTGGCAGAGACACACAGACACACTGCAGCGGTGGCAGAGACACACAGACACACCGCAGCGGTGGCAGAGACACACAGACACACCGCAGCGGTGGCAGAGACAGGCAGACACACCGCAGCGGTGGCAGAGACAGCCAGACACACCGCAGCGGTGGCAGAGACACGCAGACACACCGCAGCGGTGGCAGAGACACGCAGACACATACAGCGGTGGTAGAGACACACAGACACACCGCAGCGGTGGTAGAGACACACAGACACATACAGCGGTGGTATAAACACACAGACACACCGCAGCGGTGGCAGAGACACACAGACACACCGCAGCGGTGGCAGAGACAGGCAGACACACCGCAGCGGTGGCAGAGACAGCCAGACACACCGCAGCGGTGGCAGAGACACGCAGACACACCGCAGCGGTGGCAGAGACACACAGACACACCGCAGCGGTGGCAGAGACACACAGACACACCGCAGCGGTGGCAGAGACACACAGACACATACAGCGGTGGTAGAGACACACAGACACACCGCAGCGGTGGTAGAGACACACAGACACATACAGCGGTGGTAGAGACACACAGACACTTACAGCAGTGGTAGAGACACACAGACACTTACAGCAGTGATAGAGACACACAGACACATACAGTGGTGGTAGACACAGACACATACAGCGGTGGCAGAGACACACAGACACACCGCAGCGGTGGCAGAGACACACAGACACACCGCAGCGGTGGCAGAGACACACAGACACACCGCAGCGGTGGCAGAGACACACAGACACACCGCAGCGGTGGCAGAGACACACAGACACACCGCAGCGGTGGCAGAGACACACAGACACACCGCAGCGGTGGCAGAGACACACAGACACACCGCAGCGGTGGTAGAGACACACAGACACACCGCAGCGGTGGCAGAGACACACAGACACATACAGCGGTGGTAGAGACACACAGACACACCGCAGCGGTGGTAGAGACACACAGACACATACAGCAGTGGTGGCAGAGACACACAGACACATACAGCGGTGGCAGAGACAGCCAGACACACCGCAGCGGTGGTAGAGACACACAGACACACCGCAGCGGTGGCAGACACAGACACATACAGTGGTGGTAGACACAGACACATATAGCGGTGGCAGAGACACACAGCTACATACAGCGGTGGCAGAGAACAGTTAACACAGCCACAGCCGTATACAGCCGTGCACTCAGCAAACGACTCCAATGTGTACCTTACCTCGCCCCCCCCCCCACACGCACACCTAGATAACAAGTGCCCGGACAAGAAGTAAGCAAAAGATATATATATATATATATATATATATATATATATATATATATATATATATATATATATATATATATATATATATATCAATAATTATGCCACGGCGCCGTAACGGGGCTTCATGAACAGTCACGGAGCACAGCTGAGTGCTGCACACATGTTTGGGCGATACTGGGGTCAGTTGGGCTCACCATGCTGAACTGTTCGAACTGCTTCTGCATCTGCTGGGTTTGCGGCGAGACGAAGAAGCCGCCGTTGGGCAGGTTGGGCACGGGCGACGGCGGTCCGGCCGGCGAGCCCGGCGCCGAGGGCACGCTGTCCAGAGGACTGGGACTCCGGTACCCGGCCTGGGGAAGGACACCGCGGCGCGCACCGCTGTCACAGCGGGGCACCGACAGCGGGGGGGGGGGGTACCGGCACGGAGAGTGGGTACCGGCACGGAGAGGGGGGAGGGGTACCGGCACGGAGACAGGGGGTACCGGCACGGAGAGGGGGGAGGGGTACCGGCACGGAGAGGGGGGAGGGGTACCGGCACGGAGAGGGGGAGGTATCGGCACGGACTGGGGGAGGTAACGGCGCGGACAGGGGGCACCGGCACGGACAGGGGGGAGGTACCGGCACGGAGAGTGGGTACCGGCACGGAGAGTGGGTACCGGCACGGAGAGTGGGTACCGGCACGGAGAGTGGGTACCGGCACGGAAAGTGGGTACCGGCACGGAGAGTGGGTACCGGCACGGACAGGGGGGGGAGGAGGGCACCGGCACGGACAGGGGTATCGGCACGGAGAGTGGGGGAGGTACCGGCACCGGAGAGTGGGGGGGGGGGGGCACCGGCACGGACAGGGGGGAGGTACCGGCACGGAGAATGGGGGAGGTACCGGCACCGGAGAGTGGGGAGGGGAGGATGTACCGGCACGGACAGGGGGGAGGAGGGCACCGGCACGGACAGGGGGGAGGTACCGGCACGGAGAATGGGGGAGGTACCGGCACCGGAGAGTGGGGAGGGGAGGATGTACCGGCACGGACAGGGGGTACCGGCACGGAGAGTGTGGGGAAACAATAGGGCAGATAGATTGGTAGATATTCGGAGAGATGAAATGGTAGATGTCGGGACGGACAGTAGGGGATACGTTATTGAAAGTAGAGCAGATATTGGGAAAGATATAAGGGCAGATATTGGGACGAAGAGCATGCACAGTGTCGGAAGAAAAAATGCACGCTGTTACGATGCACGCTGTCCTGATCAGTGAATATTTGGTAAAGTGATATGAATTTATCAGTTACCTAACTTTCAGCAGAGCCTATAACGTGTGATAACTAGACATGGCTACGAAAGTCACCTGATGACGCTCAGATGGCGAGCAATACCAAATCAACTACAAACATGTACAGTCAGTACTACAACTAGGCACGATCCCTGGGGCAGGCCAGGGACCGGTGCTGGTTCCGGCCACCGCCGGCCGGCCGGCCGCGGCGCCAGGAGCCGGGACCCGGGAGCCGGGAGCCGGGGGCGGAGCCGGGAGCCGGGGGCCGGGGGCCGGCCCAGCCTACCTGGTAGTAGGGCAGCGGCGACACACTGCGCGGGCTCAGCTGGGGCGTCCGGTACGCGCCCATCGGCTCGGCTCGGCCGTCCTGCGGGAGCAGCCGGCCCGCTCAGAGGGCGCCCGCTGGCCCAGCCGGCACGGCACCGAACACGGGCAGCGTGCAACACCACCGCGCAACAGCCCGCCAGCCAAACACAGACACATGCCGCAACTACTGACAGCCGAGCTCTGGTAGTAGGGCGAATCAAAACGACAATAAATGACGTCTAAAAGGTAAGACAAAACATGAATTCAGCTTACAAAATATTTCAAAACTGAATTTGATTCGTAGCGCGCGTATTGATACCGTGAATGCATAGATACGAGTGCATTGAAAATACAGAGAAAGACAGTAGAACTACTCTAGTACAAAGGCATGGGGAAACAGTTACTAGCCAGCTGAAGAGTGAGTAGGTGCCAGGTACGCCTATGACAGTGTGAGCGACGGTCTGCGGCATGCCGGAAGGGACGGGCGGCTGACTCACCGCGCGGCTGGTGCCGGACCCACCGGTCGTCACCAGCGCTCCCGGTGCCGGACTCACCAGCCTGGTGCTGGACTCACCGGGGACGGGGGCGGCCGCTCCTGCTGCTGGTCTGACTGGTCCGGCTGCAGGTGACGGCTCCGGTCCGCCGGCTGCTGCTGCTGCGACTGCTGGTGCTGCCGTTGCTGCTGCTGCTGCTGCTGCTGCTGCTGCTGCTGCTGCTGCTGCTGCTGCTGCTGCTGCTGCTGCTGCTGCTGTTGTTGCTGATGTTGATGATGTTGTTGATGTTGTTGACGGTGTTGATGATGTTGTTGATGATGTTGTTGATGGTGTTGTTGATTGTGGTGATGCGGTGGATGGTGCTGATGTTGCTGATTATGGTGATGATGTTGATGGTGATGCTGAGGTGAGTGCTGCTGCTGGGGCGCGTGATTGCCGTACTGAGCTGGACTATACCCTCCAGGCGCCGGCTGGCGCTGGTGCTCCACAGTCACACCCTGCGGCACACAGAGCACACTGGTCAGCCGGGCGCCGCGCCGGCCGTACCGCGGCTGCTGCCAGCACCGGCGGCGATCCGCACCAGACCGATGGGTACACGTGCCGTCCGTCAACACCGCCCCGATCAAAACGGCACCCCGACACACGGGCCATCTGCACGGCTCCTATGGCCCCGGTGTCAGCTGGTGCAGAACCTGACCCAGCGCCGGTCCTCTCGCGCAGCGCGCGTCACCTTCCCGAGCCGAGGGCCGGCTGCCGCCCGGCCGCGGGGGAGGGAGGGGGGGGGCCTACCTTACAGGTGTGCAGGTAGTTGGACGACACGCTGCCCGGCACGCCCAGCGAACTCTGTGGAGGCGAGCACACGACGGACGGCGCCGTCAGGCAGCAGCCACCGGCCACAGCCATGCAGCCGGCCAACGACACACAACCGGCCGATACGCAGCCAGTGCCAACACACGTGCGGCAATCCAAGCGGCGATCAGTGACTTCAGCAGAGCTCAAGACAAACTACAGGCTAGGCGCTACGACTATAATCTACCCCATGTGGAAATCCATCATTAATTTATGATCTCATAGGACCTCGCGACAAGGACCTAGCACGGACAGGGACAAGAACAAGGATCTAGTTATGATCTGAGGGGATATAATACAACAACATGTCACCTGGTGCTTTCATGTCAATTGGTGTTACACAGCTTTGAATGTGAACTGTGATCACCTTCATATAACAAAAGAGAATCACTGTAATTGGCAGCAAATGTTCGCAAAAAAATCATGACTCTAACAAATTATAATAGGATTCCGTAACTCTGGATCTTTCTATAACAATTAGGTCGATATCTGTGATATCGCTGCATTTCTCGAGGGGAGAAAACCTACATCTATGATTCCATGGCATAGGAGCTCAGGATAATATATTCCTGCCCGGGGCCGGGATGATTCAATAAATGTCACCGAGGTTTTTTAGCGGAAACCCCGAGGGCCGTTAGGCCCGAGGTGATTTTGCTAAAAAAAAGCGAGGTGACATTTATTGAATTCCCGGCCTTAGGGCTGGAAGGTGTTTCCCATACCTGCCAAAAAGCTCACAACTATATGATAGTGACGTCAGCAGCCGTGTGGTTCAACGTGTTTTACCACATCCCTTGAACCACACGGCTTGCAATATTCAAGCATTGCATTAACCCTCGCCGGCCGAGGGGGGGGGGGGCGGGTGCCGCCCCCCCATAGGGTTTTTTTCGCGATAGCTCCGAACACGCTGGCGATAGAGAGCTGAAACTTGGCATACCTGACCTTTGATTCAAGCCGGATCTTTTGACACCAACCGCATTTTTGGGTCAGGTCAGGTCACTGACCTATGACGTCATAAGTGAACCTCTGCACGGTCTTCAGATGTCGCAACTTCGCAACGCCCTCACTGCCAGAGGAGATGTCACAGGGAAATGAAACTTGCAGGATCTAGTATCCATTATGAGTCTCACAACTTGTATATCTCGGATTTTTCCTAAAGGTCATATGAGGTCAGGTCATTTTCGTGACCTCACCATTATAAGTCAATGGGGAAAAATTCAAACTGCTATTCTGGCGCCGGGAACGATCTCCAACTATCTCAAGCACACAGAATCGTGATTTGATGCACTCCTTGCAAGGTTAGATGCGTCACTTTTGCAATGTTGACCTTGCGTGACGTCATTTATGACGTCATCAAGGTCATATTAGTTTTTCGTCAATAACTCTTGATCAAATTGAGCTAGCGAGTCGGGAAAGCCACCAATGGACTCAGGAAGACCTGCCGAATCGAATGATATGCGACATGACCCCTTTCGACCAACTTCGTGACCTTGGGGTGCTGACCTAACCTTGACCTGAGGTCAACACCCCAAGTTGACCTGACCCGCACAAAAAATATATCATTCGACGCGCCTAAGCGAGGCGAACACGATGCTGCCAAAATCGCGGCTCTGCGGCCGTTTTTTGCGAAGTTATTCACCAAAAACTGAACCGTACCTTGGGGCACTTGACCTGACCTCAGAGGTCACCGGTTGACCTAGGACCTTAAAATCGGGTACCAATCTCTGCGTCTCGTAACGGCGCACACGCTCGATTTTTCCGCGACGCGCTAGCTCCACCAGGGGCGAAACGGCGAGGGGGGGGTCGTACCCGCCCCCCCTCGGCCGGCGCGTATGTAGAAAACCAATAGGTCCGGCGAGGGTTAACCTTTGAAAAGTGTGGTACAGTGCACGTGCCGTTTAAATGCCTGGATGTCTCTATTTAATCATGCAATGTAGCAGGTATGGGAAGCATGGGATCCGCCCCGAGTTCCATGCACTGCCGCTACCAGGGTGGTGTGTTCTGACATCAACACTAGGCGGCGGGCGCAGAGACCGGGGCCGCAGACAACTTACCGTCCGACGGACGGACAGAACACGGACGGACGGACGGTACACGGACGGACGGACGGACGGACAGACAGACAGACAGACAGACAGACAGACAGACAGAACACCAGAACACGGACGGACGGGCGGACAGGATGCACAGACAGACGGACGGAACACAGACAGACAGACAGACAGACAGACACACAGACGGACGGACGGACGGACGGAACACAGACAGACAGACAGACACACAGACGGACGGACGGACGGACGGACGGACGGACAGACGGAACATGTACGGACGGGGGTACAGGATGGACAGACGGGCGGGCAGACGGGATGCACAGACAGACGGACAGACAGACAGACGGACGGACGGACGGACGGACGGACAGACAGACGGGGGTACAGGATGGACACCGACACGGGCCTGTGACTGGCAGACTGGCAGCTGTCCGCGGTGTAGCCGGCCGGCCGGGTCACTGAGCTGGGTCGACAGCGGGCTGCGCCGGCGCGGCACCCAGACGGCAGTCGTGGCACCGCACGGCACACCAACTCACCTGGACGGAGCGCCGCCGGACAACATTCACGTCCCAAACTCACCATTGCCACCCTCCAACACAGAACTCGGGGGAGGCTCTGACCTGTACGGGCCGAGTCTGACCTGTGCGGGCCCAGTCTGACCTGTGCGGGCCCAGTCTGACCTGTGCGGGCCCAGTCTGACCTGTGCGGGCCGAGTCTGACCTGTGTGGGCCGAGTCTGACCTGTGCCGGCCGAGTCTGACCTGTGCTGCGGGACGTGCTGACCTGTGCGGGCCCAGTCTGACCTGTGCGGGTGACAGCGGCGGCGGAATGTGCTGTGGGTGGCGCTGCGGCGGAGGCACTCCCGGAAACAACCGCTCACCGAGCGGAGAGTGCACGGGCGACACGCCTCCCAGTGACTGCGAAACGGGCACAGAATATAGCAGTCACCGGACAGTGGACGACTGGGACAGAATATCTCAGTCACCGGACAGTGGACGACTGGGACAGAATATCTCAGTCACCGGACAGTGGACGACTGGGACAGAATATCACAGTCACCGGACAGTGGACGACTGGGACAGAATATCTCAGTCACCGGACAGTGGGCGGCTGGGACAGAATATCTCAGTCACCGGACCGTGGACTGTGAGACTGGGACAGAATATCTCAGTCACCGGACAGTGGACAACTGGGACAGAATATCTCAGTCACCGGACAGTGGACTGTGAGGGAGGCGGGGGACAGAATATCTCAGTCACCGGACAAAGGACTGTGAGACGGGGACAGAATATCTCAGTCACCGGACAGTGGACTGTGAGGCGGGGACAGAATACTTCAGTCACCGGACAGTGGACTGTGAGGCGGGGGACAGAATATCTCAGTCACCGGACAGTGGACTGCGAAACGGGAACAGAATATCTCAGTCACTTGACAGTGGAGGACTGTGGACGACTGGGACAGAATATCTCAGTCACCGGACAGTGGACGACTGGAACAGAATATCTCAGGCACCGGACAGTGGACTGTGAGGGAGGCGGGGGACAGAATATCTCAGTCACCAGACAGTGGAGGACTGGGACAGAATATCTCAGTCACCGGACAGTGGACGACTGGGACAGAATATCTCAGTCACCGGACAGTGGACTGTGTGACTGGGACAGAATATCTCAGTCACCGGACAGTGGACTGTGAAGCGGAGACAGAATATATCAGTCACCGGACAGTGGACGACTGTTGACGACTGGGACAGAATATCTCAGTCACCGGACAGTGGACGGCGGGGACAGAATATCTCAGTCACCGGACAGTGGACGACTGGGACAGAATATCTCAGTCACCGGACAGTGGACGGCCGAAACGGATCCAGCGGGTACGAGACCGGCGGGGGGAGGAAGGGGGGGGGCGAGGGGTGCAGAGAAACCTTCGGTCTCGGGTGAGAGGCTATACGAACGAATGCCAGCGATACATGTAGACACGATAAATAGGAGAAACAACCGCACAGGATTGTGAAAAAATGGACACTTGGTAACAAAAACAATGTCAACTGGTGAGTCAAGGGCATCCCACTTTTTCGCCACGTTATAGCTAAAAAACTGCGATGCGCCAAATTTTGGGTACCTGTAGGGATTTGATTGAAGTGTATTGTGAGGAAGTTTAAAAAAAAAAATCCGTCGATTTTTTTAGATTTTGAGGTTTTAATGAGAGCAAAACCTGTATAAGAACATGTAAATTAAAGCACGTTGTAAATCTAGCAGAACAATGAGCTTTCTTCACCGGTATCCTGAATAACTTTGATAGCGATGTGGACCGTTAACCTAACAAATATCACACTCGTTTAGTAGAACGAGAGCAGAACGTTCCTTCCGTGGTCGGGCGGGCGGGCCGAGAGCGCCGGGTCTGCGAGTCGATAAGGGTCATTTCACGCTTGTGTGGATGACTTTGATCCATCGCGACGCTCAGTTGTGTGATTGCGCCTTTTTGTCGGCTGTGAGAGACGCATATTAATAGTTGATAATATTTTTTGGCTACATATTGTTCTTTTGACGTTCAGCTTTCACTAGGACACGAAAAAAAAAACATGCCCATGACTTCAAGAATGTCCGAGGCAGCCCGTTGAATAAAAATTATAGCGTTTTTTTACAAAAAAAAAAACGCAATTTTCAAAAAGGCCATCGAACGATTTTGATAAAAACTACATTTTTGGAATAAGCTCACTGTCAGCTTTCGAATGGTATATTTCGTTTCTTTTGTGCATGAAATGACCTTCCGACGAACCGTGCCCGGCGCGGGGGTTAGGTCAAATACTGACCTAACGCCAAAAGTAATAATAGATTTCGTAAGGAGCAATCCGCTGGTTGACGCGCGGCGCTAGGACGCTCCGTTTAGGAACAGCAGGGGATGCACCAACGAACCCCCGCTGTGGCCAAGCCGCCCGCGGCGCGGCCGCCCGCCCACTCCGGCACCCAACCGCACCGGACGAAAGCTTTGGTAGCGTCGGTCAGCCCTGTGCTAGCGCCTTAATTCTTAACGCTGTGGCTCAGAAATGATTAGGGAAGGCTATGGTGTGGGGGACTAATGGGCACACACTGTGTAATTAACTGCTGTAGGTCAAACAAAAGCAAATATATATTTTTTAAAGGGAGATAATGACCTTTTTCCACAAAATCTGAGTTAGGATCATTTTCTGACAAAACACAACAAGTTATAATGTAAATTAAAACCATTTTGCTCAATTCGGTACCTTGCCGCAAATATCTCAACTTGAAGTCACGTTAGCGGGGAGCGCTGAAAATGACCGTTGAATAAGTACTTACATCACTTTTTGGTACTTGCATGTAATTTTGTAAAATGAGCGTATTCCTTACATTTGATCTTCATCACATCTAGTTAGTTAATGGTCGTCTATAGTGCCTTCAAAAGATATTCATGGTTTGGGGGTGGTTTATGTCTAAATTTACGCAACTATTTTTCCTGTTCATCATCTGACGCCATATGCTGCTATTTTAGTAGCAACGACTCAATTTTGAATCGGTCCCGCCGACTGCACAATAAAAGAAGATAGATACAACACTTTTGCGGCATCACTGAAAAACTTATGCAGTACTGTTATCAAAATTCTCATAACACCGTTCGACAAACCTGAAGTCTTTTTGAAATAAATATGCTTGTATTTTTTCGCTTCAGGCTCTGACGCCAAAATAATGAATTTCGTAGTCGCAATCGCAAGATTTGGCTGCGTTTCTGGCGCATGCCGTTCATTTGTGGCGCAAAATAATACTTGGAAACAAAGAAGAGTATGTACCCCCGAATTAGAATCTAATTAATTCTAAACCGAATTAACTCTAATTCAAATTAGAATCCTTACAACCAAGCAACGACAAGGCGATAACATAAACAAAAACCCAAGCGTCGCTGTTTGAAACAAAAGCGCCATAAACTGCGACTTTTTTATAGAGAAGGACAACGCATTTCGGTGGGTGTTACAAGTACTGCAAGTACTGCTTCTTTTTTGCAAAAATAAAAACCTTTTTCACATACGAAAATGTGCTAGGAAATTTTCATATTTTATAGAAACTACAGTAGAAATAGTATAGATGTCGAGTAATTTTTATTTAAGAAAAAGAAAGCTCATTATCTCCCTTTAAGAAAAAAAAACTGTGACTGGAACATGATGACAAATAGTTGAAGCACCGCCAAATTAAAGGGACCCTCCCACCTTCAAAAAAGTTAATGAATTGGCATAAAAGTGATGTAGCGTGAATCACAAAGAGCGAAAATGAACATCTACCAAATTTTACCGGAAAATATTCACCCGTTTTCGAGATATAAGACTTTTATTTTTGTTTACTTTTTGGGAACTTCGCTGTTTCTATGACGTCACATAAAGGTTTTCTTTACGTCGGCATTTGGAAGCAATAATTTGGTATCAAAGTGCGACAAATATTGCGCGAATGATGCGTTTATCTTATCAAGGTCAATATATGATGGCCAATGAAGGATTCCAGGACAATTCTTCTTATGGCATTTCTTCGTATCGCAATTCTTCGTCTGCAAATCTTCGTCAGGGCATTTATTCGTATCGCATTACTTTGTCTCGCATCAGGGTATATGAAAATCGGCTCGCATTTCTTCTTCAACGCAAATATATGCAAGAGTAAGCATTGAGGGACAAATAAATGCACCGACGAAGATTTGTAGACGAAGAAATGCGGACGAAAAATTGTGCTACGAAGAAATGTCATGCGAGGATTTGTTCGGGTACCATGACATTTATGTGATTTCAAAGTCAAGGTTCACAGCTGATTTGCTAAATCAAGCCAAGAATCCAAACTATCAAAAAACTATAAATATTTGTTTGTCTGTCACAGAGGTCTCAAGCAATATAAGGTTGTTGAATCAAAAATCTACTGCCACAACTCACATCTCCTGCCTTAGTTTGTCATTGTTGTTTTAACTTGCTTTCAAGAGAAACGGAAGCCAGTATCTGATATCAGTTCAGATGATTGTTTCAAGATCTGAGTTCAAATGGAAATAAAAGCAAGATCAAGATGAAACAGGGATTATTGCTGTTAAAGTAGTTTGGCCATGATACAAAAAGCACATAAATCATTAGCCAAATCAAATACTGGTTGGTTTGTCAAGATGTTTGTTGTCTGTCGTCTGTCGAGCTGCTATGAACACTGAACGCTCTCACTCTTACTTTGAAGAGAGTAGTTTAAGTTGAATGGTAGTGAGCTGTAATTAGACAAAGCAGCTATTCAGTGCTCACATCAAGCCAGGCTAGGAAATGGCATCAACTGTGGTGGGAGGAAGCAGGTTCGGCAGCCCTATATGTTGTAAACTTCTGTTGTGTCTTGTGTTTGATCAACTGATGTTTTCTGCTGTTTTGTGCAGTGATAGTAGCAGGTAACTGCATGCTTGTCAAATTATGTGAATAAACGAATTCATAACATTGCATTTTTCTCTCCATGCAAGGAACAAGTAAGATGTTGTAGAAAATGTAATAGAGGGCTGCATTGCTGATTTTGCACTTTATCAGAGCTTTATTTAGAATTGCTTTCCTGAAGGCTACACACAGGCCACAGTACTGAAATTCACAATGTCATAGCTTTTGGCAGAAAAAAAAGAAAAGACTTACCTAGGTAAAATTGGCTGAAAGTATGGCAGAGCAGAGGCCTCTTGCACCAAAATCCTCTTGCACCAATGCTTGGATTATTTTGCATCGTATACCCAGTCCAAGTCTCAAATGTAACAATTTGCGTGCAAAATTTAGCAAGCACATGTAGGATTATGTATTGGGCTATTGCAAACAAATTTAACACCGTTAGATTAGCTTATTCTGAAACCAGTTTTTCGATTTTACCTAGCTAGGTAGTTTGGTGCAAGAGGCCTCAGGTCTTGATGCGTATGCCCATCCGTGTGCTTGCCGAAGCCGAACTGACTGCAACACATTAACTCTGACCCACCATGGTGGCTGGCATATCCTGAACTTTCACCACTCTAAACAAGACAACTTTCAGCCCTCAGCATTGTATTAAAACACTGTACATGACACTCAAAATTTGTTTCAGTGCCATCCACGGACAACATCAGTCGCCATTCACCAGGCCAGTAAAAACAGAATAGATAATAGCTTCAAACCCATGTAGTCAGAGTTACTAGGTCTGCACCTCAAAACAAAATCCAGGTGACATTCACCACGCCAGTAAAAAACAGGTACTTAGGTAACGTAACAGCTTCAAATCTGGTAACATGTTGGTCGGACTTTACACTACCATATTAACATGGAATAATATGATACCAAACAATAGTGCAACCATTCTGGATAACAAAAGTGTATGATAAAATTAATTTAGAAAACTTTGGCAGCATGATTTACGAGCACAGGCAGGTGTTACCTACCAGCCTTCTCAATGCTCGTAAAACCAACATTGTGGTTTTGATTTTACCTTACATGATAACACACTTGGCTGCAATGGCACATTTAATTTAATACTGTGAAAAGACCAGTTATAACCACTTCACAAGCACAATTGCACCTCATGCCGACATCCTTTACCAAAGACAGTCAGCAGCGTCTTTCGTCCAAACTGGATGATCAATCCCCTTCAACTGTTAACATCAAAAATATTTCTTCATGGTGTGATCTCCATATGGAAACCTTGCAGGAAAAGAATTAATGTCAATTGTCAGCTCTTCAAAATTTCTTTGGACTTTAACTTGGAGTACCATATCCAGTTTGCTTTGATATTTTGTTTTATATTCCATGTTGAAGTTGAACACCAAGCTCCAGATATAGCAGGCAGCTTGATCATCTTCGGCCTTGGTATAATATCAGTCCAAGTTCCAGTGGTGGGTATCTTCTAATATTCAAATTAAATTGAAAAGCAATAGGCTTTCTCAGCGCCGACGACGGATTTCACGTTGATAACAAAGGGAGCTCAAGGTCAGCAAAACTCGGGTTCAAGGAATGGCGGGCGTTGAAATGACTGCTGACGTCATCAAGAAACTGCTAATGGTTAAGAGATAGGGACTAAGCTGGTCCCACCCTGCAAGTAAAGGGAAGAAATTTCTTGAACACCATAAAGCTGCGGGGGTTGCGACCAGGATAAATGGTGGTTTCTGAGCCTGGCCGCAAACTTGGCTATCTCAACTCAAAACTAATGTTAAGGTGGGATGGTCCCTTTAACCCGGCAGTTGCTGGGGTATTTCGCCACCCACCGTTTGCTGGGGGGGGGGGGCGTTAAACGCCCCCAGCCGATAACTCGAGAACCAATAGACGCAGCGAAACGCACGAGGCGGCAAACGAAAGAACGCGACGAGACGCTTCAGATGAGTACTTTAAAGTTGAATTTTGAGGTCACAGGTCGGGTCAAGGTCAGGTCAAACACCTGAAATCGGGCTTTCAGTAGCACGGATTTCAGGACTTCGCAATGGGCGCCTCTCGTCATAAACTCTGTTAAAACGGTGCAGAATCCATCATATAAGGCCTACAAGAGTGTCAGCTCCATATAGGGGTCAATCAAGCATAGGTCAGGGTCAAGGTCAGGTCAACCGGGTAGGCACATATCCCCGAAAATCAAAACTGATATTCGCAGCCTGTGACACATGTTTTATGGATAATTTGGGGCGTAGAACACGATGGTCACATTCATTTTATCATATGTGTACGTGTTTGGCTCAAAAACCTCAATTTAAGAAATGCATGTATCATGGTCGTGAAGTACTCACGAGAAATTGCCAAGATTAAAGTTCAAGATTTTGGAAAAGGCGGAACGATAATCAATAATCGAAGATAGCCATTTGATTGTTCATGGTATTGGCAGTCTAATGGCGTTTCCGGCATGTCTGTATGTCTATTCTGTGATTTTATATGATTTTTTGAACATATGCCGTTTTTGGTCGAAAACTCAGAAATCATGACATCACTCGATCGATCATGACGTCCTCGATATCTCAAAAATTTTCCGACCGATTTTTTTTTTTTGAAACTTTGTCACAATAAACTTCAATCTATTCCCTACAGGTACCCAAAATTTGGCGCAGGCGCGCCGTTTTTATGCTATGGCCCGGCGAAAAAAGTGGGGGCGTTTAACGCCCCCCCCCCCCGCAACTCGCGGGTTAACAGATACGAGGGGGTATCGAAAAGTTCTGATCATCACATAGAAGATATAGACCGATTTTGATGATTTTTGGTTGGCATTATATTTGGTTCTTAAGAACAATGTTCCCGCAAAGAGAATCCTGATAAGTGGTTTTATCTTATGTAGGAGAGACTAAGAAGTAAAAAAGATGAGTAAAGGGCCCATTGAGGACCGAACCGTCATCCAACTAATGCATTTGAAACGGTATCACACTGAGAAATGACATCAAGAACGTGAAATTAGTTTATGGCGAGGAAAGCCTATCTCATGCACTTACCGAAAATGAAGAAATAATTTACAACTTGGTTGCATGGTCTTTGCAGGGGAGTCAAGAAGTGAGTGACTACCAGTGACTGACAAGGTGATGACTGTGAAGGAAGTGGAGGACCTCATCCTTACAGATCGTTGTGTGACCTTTCAGATGATTGTGCAACAGAAAGGTCTCAATGCTGGCAGTGCCTGAAAATATTATCAGCGAAGAACTACAGACGATCAAGGAGTCAGCCCGCTTAGAAGTTCGTGTGTCTACTTTGTTCAAGAGAAAAATGCGTCTTGGCTTTTCGAACTGAAAACTAGGCCTTTTTTAGGAAATTGAAGACATCTTCGATCATTTGATGACTTATGACGAATGCTGGGTCTATGTGCATGATCCAGAGACAAAAAGATGATCAAGATGTTTAAGCACGGCACATCTGTCCTTCTTAAAAGGCAAAGATGCAGAAGCCGATATGGAAGGTCAATGCTATCAGTGTTCTGGATCTGGCGTAGGATAGTCATTACCGACTGTCTTGATGATGGTCGGATAATGATAAGCAAGCACTACTGCACACTTTTGAAGAAGTTGCGAGATGGCCTCAAGCAGAATCGCCGCAAAAAAAGCCCCAAAAAGATGCTTTATCCGCACCGACAGCGCCCCCGCCCATTCGTCCTGAGCTGCGATTGAAGAAACAACATGATGTGGACATTAAATCCTACCGCATCTAAGAAATTCACATGACCGGGTATTAGCTGACTCTTGATTGTTACGGGAGATGAAGAATCCACAGTATGGCTGTTGATCTAAGGACAGAAATGACGTCATTGATGAGATGGAGCAGTGATTTACGGGACAGCGCGAAGGTCCTACAATGGCCGCCTGAGGCAGCTGAAGAAACGATGCAATAAGTTTGCGGTCGTGTGTGGTGACTTGTAAAGGAGTAATGAACATCATGTAAAAAAATCAAATTTCTATCACATCAAATTCATGGTGATGATCAGAACTTTTCGATACCCCCTCGTATATGCTTTTTGTGACCTGACACGGAAATCTGACAGTTATAAACGGGGCCAGTTTTGACAGAAACATCAAAATCATGTTTTTCAGACCCCCCAAACATTTCTCTGACTGACCATATTACGATCTATTGGATTACGTTAGTTTTGGGTCATTTGGGCATTATTGGCCATATTCGTGACCCCCATTTGCAGCACTATGCTCTTCACTACTTCAACTGGTCACTATCAGTAGCCGCCATTCCTGACACCAGCCTGACAAGTCACCCACCCAGCGGCCACGTGCAGCTACCAGTCCCGACCCTGGCCGGGTGTTGCCGTGCTGTGGCCCAGCATACCCCCGCAACACGCTTCGCTAGCTGCCTTTGACGGCCACACAACTGACCCGTCTGGCAGGACCCCCCCCGGGCGTGGCCTGACCTGGCAGAAGGTCGGCGCGGCCGGCTGGTCGCGACTGACCCCCGGCGCCGGCGACGCAGGGAAGGAGAGCGCAGACAGGTCCGGCAGCGAGCCCGAGCTGTTCATGGAGGGCGGCAGGGTCGCCGCAGGGGCCCGCTGGCCGCCGGCGGCCAGATAGGAGTCGCTGCCCAACGGTCTGCCGAGGCACCACAGCATGTCAGACACCACAGCTCGTCAGACAGGACACAACAGCACGTCAGACAGGGCACCACATCACACACCACAGTACGTCAGACACACCATAGCACGTCACACACCACAGCTTGTCACACAGGGCACCACATCACACACCACAGCACGTCAGACAGGACACAAAAGCACGTCAGGCAGGACACAGCACGTCAGACAGGGCATCACAGCACGTCAGACAGGGCATCACAGCACGTCAGACAGGGCATCACAGCACCTCACACACCACAGCACGTCAGACATCACAGTACAGCACCAGGGGCGGAGCTTCCTATTCACTTGGTGGGGCGGCCGCCCCACCAACTTGCCATTTTGCCCCACCAATAAGAGTTTTGCCCCACCAACTTAAGCCGATTTGCAGGACTTTACTGCTTAGCAAACCAATGTTTTTCGCATTGAGGAGCTTTGAAATGTCTGTGTAATGCAAAATATTATCTCTGTAATGAGAAGAATTGATTCATCGTTGTATTTTATCGAACTTAACAATCGGACATTGTAGGTTTGACCAAGGTTTGACAACTTTTTGCCCCACCAACTTTCCTGGAAAAGCTCCACCCATGTACAGCACGTCACACACACCACAGCTGCACGTCAGTCACGGTTCAGGGGCCCGGTCGGGCTCGGAGGGTTCGGCCGGGGTTGTGGGGCCCGGTCGGGCTCGGAGGGCCCGGTCGGGCTCGGAAGGGCCGGCCGGGCTCCGCGGGGTCGGGTGCCGCACTCACTGTCCGCCGCCGCCGCGCTGGCCGGGAGGCGCCGCCGACGACCAGTGTCCGCCTGCCGGCAACGGGCTGGACCCCAGGCTGGGCCGCGGCCCGTGCAGACGGCTCATGGCGCTGTCCGAGCCGGACCCGTCTGATGGCGGACAGGGCGGCCGGTCAGCGCTCACACACAGACAGGGCGGCCGGTCAGCGCGCTCACACACAGACAGGGCGGCCGGTCAGCGCGCTCACACACAGACAGGGCGGCCGGTCAGCGCTCACACACAGACAGGGCGGCCGGTCAGCGCGCTTACACACAGACAGGGTGGCCGGTCAGCGCTCACACACAGACAGGGCGGCCGGTCAGCGCTCACACACAGACAGGGCGGCTGGTCAGCGCTCACACATAGACAGGGCGGCCGGTCAGCGCTCACACACAGACAGGGCGGCCGGTCAGCGCACACACACAGACAGGGCGGCCGGTCAGCGCTCACACACAGACAGGGCGGTCGGTCAGCGCGTGCACACACACACACACACACACACACACACACACACACACACAGACAGGGCGGCCGGTCAGCGCTCAGATACACAGACACAATCAGGGCGGCCGGTCAGCGCTCACAGACAGGGCGCCGGTCAGCGCTCAGATACACAGACACGGACAGGGCGGCCGGTCAGCGCTCACACACAGACAGGGCAGCCGGTCAGCGCTCACACACACACGCGGACAGGGCGACCGGTCACTAGTCAGCGCGCTCAGACACAGACAGGGCGGCCGGTCAGCGCGCGCACACACAGACACGGACAGGGTGACCGGTCAGCGCGCATACACACAGACGCGGTCAGGGCGGCCGGTCACTAGTCAGCGCGCTCAGGCACAGCCAGGGCGGTCGGTCAACGCACACACAGACACGGACAGGGTGACCGGTCAGCGCGCGCACACAGACAGGGCGGCCGGTCAGCACGCGTACACAGACAGGGCGGCCGGTCAGCGCGCACACAAACAGACACGGACAGGGTGACCGGTCAGCTCGCACACACAGACAGGGCGGCCGGTCAGCGCGCGCACACACACACAGATGCGGACAGGGCGACCGGTCAGCGCTCACACACGTACAGAGACACGGGCCGTCCGGGCAGGGCCCGCGACCGCAGCCACCAGCTCAGCGACGGAGCCCACCGCATCGGGGAGCAGCGGCAGCGCAGAAAACATGGGGCCGTTTACCGGGCAACACTACTCCGGTGCTGAACGTACACCGGACCAGACTACCGAGCCCCGCAGCACGCCTGGGGGGGGGGCTGAGCGTGGCGCACCTGGGGCCGCCGGCGGTGGCGGCACGGGGCTGTAGCTGGGTGGCGGGCCGCCGCTGCCGTCCCCCGGCGGCCGACCTTGGTGCAGAGCCGAGTCGGAGTGGGTGCGCCTCCAGCTGCTGTCGGCCGGAGGAGACAGGTATCTGGCGACCACAGGGAGGGGCGTTGGAGGAGACAGGTACCTGGCGGCCACAGGACAGGAATTCTTAAATTTTCAGCGCTGTGCATTGGAAAGCTTACCTTGGGTGACGTCAGATCAATAGTGTCATAGTAGAGGGCAAAGTCGTAAACATTTTTTTTTTCGGTACGACACTAAGTAAAATAAAAGGTAAAACACAATTCTAAACGCATGTCGTAAAACAATGTAAAAGGCGGCTGACACAAAATGTCCTACACTGACCCCCCCCCCCCCACTGACCACTGACCCGCCGGCGTCTGACCCGCACTGACCCCCCCCCCCTACCGGCGTCTGACCCGCACTGACCCGCCGGCCCGGTACGGGGAGGTGTCGCGCCGGTGTTCGCTGGCGCGCGGGCTGCGGTGCGGTCCGACGCCCGATCCACGCCGGTCGCCGCTGTACGGGATGGGCTGGCAGCCGACCTGAGCCAGCCGGAGCTGCTCCTGGTGCAGATGGTCCTGAGGGGGACGCATCCGTCACACAGCAGTCCACACAGCAGTTACACACAGAGCCGCAACGGTCATAATGGCAGTGGCGGTGGCGGTGTCTCCCTCACCTGTACCGGTGGAATCGCGGTGTCTCCCTCACCTGGTACAGGTGGAGCCGCGGTGTCTCCCTCACCTGTACCGGTGGAGCCGCGGTGTCTCCCTCACCTGGTACGGGCGGAGCCGCGGTGTCTCCCTCACCTGTACAGGCGGAGCCGCGGTGTCTCCCTCACCTGTACGGTGGAGCCGCGGTGTCTCCCTCACCTGGTACAGGCGGAGCCGCGGTGTCTCCCTCACCTGTACAGGCGGAGCCGCGGTGTCTCCCTCACCTGGTAGGGGAGGTGGTGCTGGAGGTGGTGGTACGGTGGCCCGGCGCCGCCCATGCCCGGGTAACCGGCAGCGGCCGCCATCTGGCTGGCGTTGGGCAGCGAGCCGCCGCCGCCGCGCTGGTGCGCGCCGCCGCCGGCCGCCGCCGGCTGGCCAGACGGACCGCCGATGTAGACCGGCTGAGACGGCGGCGGACGGACGCCAGCCGGACCCTGCGGCGACGGCACAGCGGTCACCGCGGCATCTGACACCGCCACGGCGGCCGGCGGGTCACAGCGGACATCACCACAACCAACTCACACCGACACAGCGGGTCACAACAGGATGTGCGTGAAGTTGGCGTCAATGCCAGCACTTCTTTTTCAGATACGTAATACAAATTGCTCAGAATAGCGTTAAGGGTTATTTGAACCACGAGGATCACAAAAATACCGATGGTTTCGCTGTAAACCTTGAAACTCAAACAAACTCAAAGTAAAAGGACGGGGACCCGCAAAAGTACCCCAAGATGTATGATTTAAAAAAAGCGCCCAAATGAAGCCTGTGCAAAGTTCTAGCCGCGTATCAAGAACTATTTTTGTCAAGGTCAACCTTAACCCGGCCGAGCCCGGGGGGTAATCCCAACCACCGCAGCCCGGAGGGGGGGGGGCGTTTTTCGCCCCCCCCCCCCCCTGTCTAACTACGTAAATAGGGGAGCTACGGAAACAAAAGCGATAGGTACCAAACGAAAGGTCCTTACGAGACGATTCTAAAGCACCTAATATTTTTGACCTCAGGTCAATTTTCAAGGTCAGAGGTCAAGGTCAAAGGCAAAAACCGGCACATGTGTAGTGATCTCAAAGCAAACGTTCTAGAGGACGGCAGGATGCATAAAACCGGCAAAATCGGGTGTCAAACGAAAGAGAATCTGAGGATTCCAAAAATGTGCTCAAAATCAAAGGTCAATGTCAAGGTCATGCCTCGCTCAGGCGCGTCAAATGGTTTACTTTTTGTTTGGGTCAGGTCAACTTAGGGTGTTGACCTCAGGTCACGGTCAGGTCAGCGCCCCTAGGTCACGAAGTTGGTCGAAAGACGTCATGTCGCATATCATTCGATTCGGCAGGTCTTCCTGAGTCCATTGGTGACTTTCCCGACTCTCTAGCTTAATTTGATCGGGAGTAATTGGCGAAAAACTAATATGACCTTGATGACGTCATAAATGACGTCACACAAGGTCAGCATTGCAAAAGTGGCGCATCTAACCTTGCAAGGAGTGCATCAAATCACGATTCTGTGTGCTTGAGATAGTTGGAGATCGTTCCCGGCGCCAGAATAGCAGTTTTCATTTTTCCCCATTGACTTATAATGGTGAGGTCACGAAAATGACCTGACCTCATATGACCTTTAGGAAGAATCCGAGATATACAAGTTGTGAGACTTGTAATGGATGCAAGATCCTGCAAGTTTCATATCCCTGTGAAAGCTCCTCTGGCACTCTGGCAGTGAGGGCGTTGCGAAGTTGCGACATCTGAAGACCGTGCAGAGGTACACTTATGACGTCATAGGTCAGTGACCTGACCTGACCCGAAAATGCGGTTGGTGTCAAAAGATCCAGCTTGAATCAAAGGTCAGGTAGGTATGCCAAATTTCAGCTCTCTATCGCCAAGGTGTTCGGAGATATCGCCAAAAAATACCTATGGGGGGGGGGGGGCGGCACCAACCGCCCCTCGGCCGGCGAAGGTTAAATGTGGCTACTATGGGGTTTTCGGGGTGCCGAACACGAATATCTGTTAGTTTTGATCACCAAAGATGTCTTTAAGCATTTAGGATGGTCGGGTCAGGTCAGGTCAACCAGTAGGGATCATGACGGGTATTCGTAGTACCTACATGTCAACCGCCTCTGACAGCTTCGTAACATGTTATGAAGGCACAAAAACTACTTCGTTAGTGTCCAAATGGTTGCTAAATTCGAATTCAGCCAAAAAAACTAGCCTAGAAACATGAAAAACTCGAAAAAGGAAACCGAGGTCACCAAAGGTCAATGACCTGACCTGACCTTCTGGTGACCTTGACATCCACCCTATTGCATGGGAGCAGCATCAGATCACATGTTTGAACATTTGAAACCACGAGAAGCTTGCAAACGCGCGGCTAATGCGAGCCGACATACGCCCAATCGCGATTCCAGCCAAACATGGTCTCGGAAAGTAGGTCACAGGTCAAAGGTCATTTGGGTCAGGGTCATGAAATTTTCAGGGTAGGTGTAAAATTGATCAATGCGAGGGTACTGAAAGTTTTGTCGCGATCGGCCGCTTTTAAAGCGAGTTATTCGCGAAAAGGCTTAGGGAGATTGCATCAACCCCCCCCCCCCCGTGCCAGCAAGGGTTAACCCACGAGCCGCATTAAGTTGCCCCCCTTTACGTGTTGTGGAATATCTCCGAAACCTGATGAGCTACGAACGTGAAACTTTGCATAGCTTCAAATGAATACCTAGGCAATGTTTGAGGAAAGTTTGGTGGTTGTGGGCTGTAGCACTTAAGATGACGTTAAAGTGACGTCAAAAAGTTTTGTCGTTTTCCGATATGGACCGTTTCTGATGTTGCTGAGCATTAAACTCAACTGTAAATGAACCAGACAGCACCTCTAAAACATCTAGGCATAATTCCAAGTTCCAACTAGTTCCTGACCAATAATAGGTCCTTTATATTCAGTTTCATATGTCGGATATATCGTGAGGAAACTGAGAGTCGCAAATCTTTAATTTGACTTCTGACGCCACTGTGACGTCATTTCACATGGGATCGACACCAAATTTGGACACAGCCTCGGCTAGGTATTCATGAAGATGTGTGCAAAGTTTCGCTTCTCTATCTCTTCGCGTTGCGACGATATCGTCGCAGAAGTAAAGGGGGGCAACTATATACCCCCCAGCGGCGGGTGGGGCGGAGGCCCAGCGGCCGCCAGGTTAAATACTGACATATAATTCTTTTACGAGTGTCATTTCAACCCTCGCCCGCACATGGGAGGGGGGAGTTGCCCCCCCCCCAGGTAGTTTTTCTGCTCTGCACTCAACAATTTTAGAGCTAGAAGGCTGATTTTTCGCATAGCTGCTCCTCTATCCTTTGTTGATGTCCACTGAAAATTTCAAGTTTCTGTGATTTTTGGTTTCGGAGATATGACCTTGTTTTACAGGTCAGGTCATGACCCAAATGGCCAATTCTCAACATCTTGCGTTTGCCATGGGCCTTGTGAGCTTTTGACACCTTTATTTCGGCCTTTTTTGCCTGTCTTACCTCCCACCGATCATGGAACATGTTGTTCGACGAGGTACAGGTGTCAAGGTCAGGGTCAAGGTCAACCTAGGTCATCTAAGATAATTGTGTTTTAGGCAAGCTGAATTTACTTTTTGTGAAAATTTTTGACTGCATTTTTGGTAAAAGCTTCTCAGATCATGATTTCATGTAATATGGACACAAAAACAACCGGTGCACACATCAGTATACACACAGACACACACCGACATACAAACACATATAATTGACCTCGACCTAACTTGACCTGAAATGACCTCAACAGCAAAAATCTGGTCGGGTAGTGTGACAAAGAGGTTCTAGCTGGCTTGGCACCTGAAAACAGCATCGTCATCAGTACATGATAAGCAGCACACTTGATATCCAACGGTGACGGCCAAAACAGCAACATGTTTTAGTTTGACCTGACCTGGAAGGTCAATGACTGACCTGAGAAGGTAAAACTAGGCATTATTGGATTTGTCTCTTCCCAAAGAATCTTTTTGGCCTTTACCGCTAAGCTCTAACTCCAACAGGAACGAAATGGCACGGGGGGGGGGGGGTGGGTGGCAACCCCCCACCCATGTGCGTTCTAGGATGGGAAAATGGCATGTGCGGGCGAGGGTTAATTGTTCATGTCCATCTACTACCATGTTTATATCAATAAACGCCATAGCTATCATATGTCACCAGCTGGCCGGCCAACTGATATTGTCCTGTTGTTATAGTTCTTTTTTTAGTTTGACCCTCACTGTAAACATCTTTTTGAACACAGCACAAGCATTGCTAGCTGAGTTACTGAGAAAACTGCTTAGCACACAATGCATTGGAGATATCAATAATATTTTCGAAATAAGTTCTGACCACTGATGATTTTATGCAAAACGCTGTGCGATGTATTGATTGCTTCAGTTTTAGTTCCTGACAAGTCGTCTATGCCTATGGAGCTGTAAATATAGACAAATACGAGCTGGGAACCAGAAAAGGGAGCCAGGTAGACATAATTTTGATAAGGTTGATCGCCTGTTAAATTGATGTGCACTAACCAGTTTGCTCAGTAATTCAGGTAGCAATTCTCATGCTATGTTCAAAGAGACGTTTGCAGTGAGGGTCGAACTTAGAAAAAAAAAGCTATAGTAAGTCCCGTAGGCTGTAAGTTTTAGGTTGGTTGGCTAGTTGGTTCAAGGTTGTAGTTCAGTAAATAAGGTAAGGCCAGGTTATATTATGGTTTTTATCTTCACCATACTTCATCTAAACATTCATCGAATTGTCCCAGAATCATTCGTCAACAATATCTGGAACCTTTAATTGTATTGAGAACCAGTAACAGAGGTTTTGTGTATCAAATCTTGGCACAATTAAGGAATGAAACGTAAGGCTTTTCCTGCAATCATTCATACCTTTGGGGGCACAGCAATATTGACTTCACGCATTATCTGCTCAAATGCAGCAGTCTCTTCCGCCTGCTTTTGAGCATGCAGAGCTATTTTTTCACTAAATTTACGCGGATTTGCCATCACAGCGGTTAGCCACAATGACAAAGCTTTTGAATTTATTACACCTGTCCTGCCAAGTTAAATTCAAGTGTAAAAATTATATAAATTAACAGTACAGACACAAAAATATTCTGCGCTATTTCTGCCCAAATCAAGGCTATGCTGAAAAGAACTCCATCGGGCAGATTACTTGCACTACCCTTATATTGATGACGTCATTGAAAAGGAAGGTGTTCCTAGCATTATTTAGATTCAGGGTTGTGTGCCAGCTTTCCTGGACCGTATGGAGTTAATGGCCCAGATAAGGAGAACCGGATTTTTAGAGCTTAGGTATCCATACCTTCAAAACTCATGGAAACGTCTTAAATTCTTCAAATTTTGAGTACCCCAGTGCGAAATTCTCTCCGACGGGTTGTCGGTCGTACCTCAACCACATTTCACACCACTACCCAGTAAACATGACTGGGTAGTAAACCGGAGTAAACCGTCGGCCCGACGTCGGGCCGAGGCTCGGCCCGACGTCGGCCCAACGTCGGTTCAACCTCGGCCCGACATCGGCTGGACGTCGGATATGCCCGCATGTTCCGAGCGACGTCCAGCCGAAGTCCAGCCGACGTCGGGCCGAGATCGTTTGCCGAGGTTGACGAGATCGTTGGTCGTTGGACCGACGGGGCCGACGTCGGCATGTGTATTGGGACAACGCGCCAAAAATATCAACCGGCGGCGGGATTCGAGCCCCCCAGTCGCCGACGTCGGCATGTTTACTGGGACAACACGCCAAAAGCATCACCCGGCGATCGGATTCGAACCCCGTGTCAATCGAACGCGAGGTTAGTGCGCTAACCACTACACCACGCAGCCAGCTAACGAATTCGGTTTGTTTTGTTGGGTTATATGCCCTTTCGGTCTGACAAGACCATTTCAGAGCCGGAAGGATCATAGCATGGATTAGGTATTCCTGGATCGGACACTCCGCCGATTTTCCGACCACCCGGCGGCGGCGGCGGATTTCCCGACGGCGAGGGCGCTGGCAGTGGCGGTCGCAGGGGGGGGGGGGCCATCAGGGCCATGGCCCCCCCCAAAGGCAGATCAGGGGGGGCCATCATATCATTTGGCCCCCCCCAAACAACCGATGGGCCCCCATGGCCGTATGGGGCCCTGGCCCGTATTCGATTGTTACGAGGCTCGAGAAACCCACGCCAGCTATTAACAGCTCCCATACCAGTCTTTGAGGGTCCTACACTGACCTCTGAGGGCCCTTAAGTGGCGGTCATGCGTCCACATTGACTGCTGAGGACCCACATTGACCTCTGAGGGCCCTCCACTGGCCTTTGAGGGCCCCTAAACCGGCCTTAGGGGCCCAACCGGCGTCTGAGAGCCTCACACCGGCCTCTGGTGGCCTCATTTCTGTCTCTCGAGTCCCAAGACCAGCCTTAAGCGCTGGATTCTGAAGACCCGATGTCGGCCTCTAAGAGCCCGCATCGGCCTCTGGGGGCCCATCTTGGCCTTTGAGGGCCCTCCGCTGGTTTCTGGGTTCCAACGCCGGCCCATGCCGGCCTTTTAGTGCCCCAAACTGACCTCTAAGGGCCCTATGCTGGCCTGTAAGGACACACATTAGCCTCTGAGGGCCCCCGCACTGGATTCTGAAGACCCAATGCCGGTCGCTCAGGGCCCGCATCGGCGTCTGAGGGCCCATCTTGGCCTTAGAGGGCCCTCCGCCGGCCTCTGGGGTCCAACGCCGGCCCATGCCGGTCTTTTAGGGCCCCACACTGACCTCTGAGGGCCCCATGCTGGCCTGTAAGGACACACATTAGCTTCTATGGGCCCCGCACTAAATTCTGAAGACCCGATGCCGGCCTCTAGAGGCCCGCATCGGCCTCTGAGGGCCCATCTTGACCTTTGAGGGCCCTCTACTGGCCTCTGGGGTCCAACGCCGGCCAATGCCAGTCTTTTAGGGTCCCATACTGACCTTTACGGGCCCCATGCTGGCCTGTAAGGTAAGGGCCCACATTAGCCTCTGAGGGCCCTCGCCCGCACTGAATTCTGAAGACCCGATGCCGGCCTCTAAGGGTTAGCATCGGCTTCTGAGGGCCCATCTTGGTCTTTGAGGGCCTTCTGTTGGCCTCTGGGGTCCAACGCCGGCCCATGCCGGTCTTTTAGGGCCCCACACTGACATCTGAGGGCCCGTGCTGGCCTGTAAGGACCCACCTTGGCCTTTGAGGGCCCCACACGAGCTTCTGAAGACCCGATGCCGGCCTCTAAGGGCCCGCATCGGCCTCTGAGAGCCCATCTTGGCCTTTGAGGGCCCTCTCTGGCCTATGGGGTCCAACGCCGGCTCATGTCGGTCTTATAGGGCCCCCACGCTAACCTCTGAGGGCTCCATGCTGGCCTGTAAGGACCCACATTAGCCTCTGAGTGCCCAATTAGGTCTCTGATGGTCTCAAACTGCTCTTTGCAGGCCCTGTACTGGTCTCTGAGGGCCCTAAACTGGCCCCTAAGGGCCCACACCAGCCTTTAAAGGTCCCACATCGGCCTCTGATGGTCCCATTTCTGTCTCTGGGACCCAAACTGACCCTTATGTGCCTCTGAGGGCCCCGTACTGGCTTCTGAAGGATCGATGCCGGCTTCTGAGGACCCATTACGGTCTTTAAGTGCCTCATACCGACACCTGCGGCCCCACACTAGCCTCTGAGGGGCCCCAAACTGGCCTATGAGGTCTCTACACCGGCCACTGATGGCCCTATTATGTTCTCTGGGGGGCTCATGCCTTACCTTCGGGGGTCATGCACTTGCCTCTGAAGGCCCACATCAGCCTCTAGGGCACTACCTGGGCCTTTGAGGCCCTTCGCTGACCCTTGGGTCCAACGCCGGCCTCTGGGGGGTCTGACGCCGTACTCTAAGGGCCCCATTGCAGCCTCTAGGCGATAGGTATCGCCGAAGCGCTATAGATGGGCTCATAAGTGTAGGAACCATGGGTGCAGTGGGCACAGTTGCACCAACAATAATTCTGCAGTGGGCGCAGACAATGTATTCTGCATCCACAACAATCTGGAACAAAACCCCCTTTTCTCAGCAACACTGCTTTCCATGCAGCACGAAAATTTAGGATATTTGCCATGTCCGTTGCCCACTATCCATCTTTCGAAGCATTTGCTACTGTAATGATCTTCAAAACTTACATTTGTGCCCAAGTAAAATAAAAAAAAGATGAAACGGAACACATGTGATTGAACGGTGAACAGATACCGATGACCCACTGTCAAAAGTTTTAGCACGATGATCTTAGAAAATGGCAAAGTTAGCCGCCTAAGCCGCCTTTATTTTTGCGGTAATCCATTCACAGTTGTGTGAATTATTGACAATATCAATACTTCAAAATGCACTTATCGGTATTTTTTTCGACATTTTTTTTTTTTTTTTTTTTTTTTTTTCATGCACTAACTAATCTACGAAATAGTCCGCCGCCCATGAACAGACGACCAGGAGTGTCCACCCACGGTCCCGCACGACCACAGAACCATACGTTAACACCAAAAACAAAAATATGCAAGTCGTGACACTCCCTGCTAAGAAAAGGAACATAACAAAAAAAAGAAGCGAAAAAAACTGTGCAGCCAAATACAGATGCAAGTAGTGTTGTGAGTCATGCATACAAGGGGCGGAAAGAAATCAAAGCTAAAAATAGCTTTGACTAGACACTACGTTTTTTTGTTTTTTTTTTCTTCAGTACCTAAACATTCATACCTTGGTTAGTTACACATTCGCACAGGGAGTTGGAACAATCACACAAGGACATGGGTATAAGCCGGTAGCATGCAGATCAAAAGGTCGGTGTCGGTTCCTGGTCAGGTTTCAGCATGGTCAAGTGCCCACCGAAATAGGCCACCCAGCTAAGCAAGCTTGTTGCTGGGCGAGCCTAACTCGGCAGGCGGGGTAGATGAGGGGCGAGTTATTCTAATATTGCTTTCTCTATCGGAGATAGAGACCACTACGGTATCTAAAACTTCTAGGACTTCCTCTTGCGGCAGGCGCAAAAAAAAAATCCACAAACGCACATACACAACATAAACGGCACATGACACATTGATACAATACAAAGAGAGTGATACACATATAACCAAAACGGCAAACGACACTACCATAGGTACACAAATAATCAGTGGGTATTACCAAAATATTCCATTTTGGTATGACTGTAAAAACGGAACACTGAAATGTACCACCTCTCTCTCTCCTCAACTGATTTAACAAGACACTACTGAGAAGAAAAAAAAAACAGGACAGAAAAAATAGAAATAGTAGAAATGGAACGCAGTCTAGCCCCACGTCCCCGGCGGCAGGCGCTGAGGGCCGGCTATCCGACCCCGACGGACCTATGCGGCAAACACAGCACCTCGACGCCCGCCGCGCAAGGTCGCAAGGCCATGAGGGCCTTCCTACCAGGATATCAGTAAGAATCTAAGGTAAGGTTAGGTGCATATGAATATCAGTACGAGTCTAAAAGAGAACCTCTTATTATATTTTTTAGCTGTCTTTTGGATGCCGGAATTGTCTGTATGTTCGGAAACATAGGACTGATTATTTGGTTCCAGAGCCTGGGACCAGCCCATCGTATCGTGTGTGTACGGTATAGTTTTTCAGTGAACATTTCATTGAAATGATGAGCTGAGCGCGTGACTCGGTCTGGTTCAGCTAAGGTAAAAAAGTTATCTAGGGATGTGGGCAAAGTTTCATTTAGCTTACGATGCAGTAAAAGTAATGATTGCTGTTTACCGATGTCGGTAAGACGAAGCAGCTTCAGCTTTTTAAAAATAGGGGCAGTGTGAGCAAGCCTCTCACTACCATCAATCAACCTAATGACTCGTTTTTGTAGGGTTTGTAGTTTGGTGATGCTAGTACTGTAAGTATTACTAAAGATCATGCAACAATAGTTCACATACGGTAAGAAAAGGGCATTGTATAGCAGCAGCAACTGTTTACTGGTAACAAAATACCGGACTCTGCTTATAAGTCCGACATTTCGGCTAAGTATCTTGGTGAGGTGAGCAATGTGCGATTTCCATCGCATGTCGTCATCTATATACATACCTAGGTATTTCACTGTTTTAACAAACTTGATGTTGTTACCAGTAAGGGAGACGGTTATTGTT